CCATAGAGAGCACGCCATACACATGATATATATATAGGCCGTTGCTCGATCCGAGATGGCGATGCGGAACCGCATGAGTGAGACTAATGGCATCGAAGCTAGTCCTTCAAGACATACGAGTGGATCGATTAGCCATAGAGAGCACGCCATACACATGATATATATATATATAAAATGATATCCAAAATAATTAATTAAATATTTGAGTATATTTAATACATTTACGTATATTAATGGTTTCAGTGTAATGTGTTAAGTCGTGAACCTAATCCTCACGAGGTTTTCTTAAGGACTCATCGAAAAAAGTTGATGATTAGTTTGTCTTCGTCGATCAACGATCAAGACTTATCGACGTAAGTTATTAGTTTATAACGTTATTTTATATTTATTAATTTGTAACGTTATTTATATACCTATTTAATATTATGTGTTTCACAATTATGCAAGAGATCGTATAAAGATTAATAAATGAGGAAGAGGTTGCTAGCCGACGATCGAGGGGGAATACATCGACCAAAGCCAACATTAATGAGATTTTTAGGAAATCCGTTGGTGGAGGAGATAATAGGAGGAAAAGAATGTACGGACTCGGATCACACACATCTCGGCATTACTCTAACGTTAATACGACCTCAAGCTTGGCAACTTTGTGAGTTCATGCTATTGACGAGGCACGACTTAAGGAAGTACATGATCAAACATCTATAAATACAATAGATATTCGTAACCTACGGGTACTCGTCACAATGCTAGAAGACCGTGTCACATCGTTGTTGGATACAACAAATGAGTTGAAGGAGTATAGTCAATAGCAATACACGATGATGTCACGGATGCGACAAATGTTCATGTAGCTTTTTCGGTAAGGTGGTAATTCATCCGTCGTGCTTGAGACCGACGACGACTCCACCTAACCTCCGAGTGATCCCGGCCATTTCTCTTAGCTATCACGTTTTTTTGTAATAACTACAAACTTTGTACTCGTTTTCATGAATTTAATAATTGAATAATATTTAACGACGTTTTAATACAATTTATAGTAATAATTTTGAACTTTTGAAATATTATGTTTTAGACATTTTAGTAGACTTTTTTTTAATAGAAATTAGTTAATTTGAGATAATTTAAATTGGGGGTGAAAAAATTATAATTAAACAATTAGCGACTAATTTAGCGATCGTATAAACCGTCGCTAATCCATATTTATTTGCGACGATCTTCTTGCCGTTGCAAAGTCCTTTGCTAAATTGCGACGAACCTAACGAGGGTTTTGTAGACCATCATAAATATTCTCTCGTTTTACTACCATATTTAGCAACGGTTTTTTATTTTTTTTACAACGGTTTAGTCCGTTGCAAAATTTGTAACGGTCTAAAAACCATTGTAAAAATTTATCGATTAGCATTTTAGCAATATGCTTTGGACCGTCGCTAAATCATCTTACCGATGGTTTTTTTCGATTTAGACCATCGCTAATTCAATTGATTTTTGTAGTGATGGTATGGTAGAGATCCTTTAAAATAAATGGAAATGAAAAATATGCAATGTTCCTTGTTGATGAGTGGAATGTACATGTTTTAGTATTGAAGTTTTATATACTTGAATTTTTTTTCTTAAAATTAATTAATTAATTTAGTTAATTTTATTATATGGTAATTTATGTTAATTTTTTTTAACATGAGTTTAATCTAAACAATAAATAGATTAGAATGAGAATGGAATCCCCCATTACAAAGCTTTAGGCCACATAAAAATGGATGTCATCAAGTATTTTAGCAACAGTTTTCATGCTTTGCCATTGGAACGCATTGCAAAGATTGGTTTTGTAAATTCGGAGTAAAATATATTTAAAAAGGTACAATTTTTACTTTTTTGAACTTTTATTAGCAAGTTGAAACGAGTTTAATCCAAAAGAACCCAACTTTCGTGAAGTGATACGATCCTAATTGTCAAGAGGCATCTTCAATTCATTATAAATACTAACCTCATATCATTGTGACGGGATTTTAGCTTTTTGATATGTGGCAAAATTTCTAAAGTCTCTCTTAAAACTCTTTTACTCACACATCAAACAATATTTAAAATTATTGTATTTTTTTAGAATTTGATCATTCATCCGCCTCTCACTTGACTTATTTCTTGCTAATATTACTTGCTCATTCTCCCACACCTCTCACTACTTATATTTATTCTATTCTATTTACTTGGTTGTAAGTTATTTCTATAAATTACAATACTAACTATTTGTATTTTGACTGATCTATTAACCAATCATCCGATAAGTTCTCAACAATTTCATATAAAATTTTGGGTTTTTTAATGATGTTATTGTTGAATGGTAACTATATATCTCTCATGTTTTTTTGGACCTCCAAAGTGAACTTGGCATATATTAATATACAATTCACTTATGTATGAGTTCGTGAAAATTCTCATATATTATAATGGGTTTTTCAAATAAAATGGTACAATGTACCGATAACTCTTTTACTATTGATCAAAACACAAACAATTATTTAATAAATCATTCCATACAAATAGTTCTTAAATAAAATTGAACGTAAAATTGAGACTTTCTATTAAATAGGGTTAAGTCTCTATCCAATTTGACTTAAATAAAATCAAATATTTAGCATATGACGCTCTAACCCATTTAATAAAAAAATTCTAATTAGCATTGAATAATTTATTAAGAAACTATTTGTTTTTTTTTACTAATAATATAAGGAAGATCGACACATTTTACCTTTAAAAAAACAAAAGACGGGAACCTAACGCTACATAACAAAAGAATTGATTTTTACTCCTAATTTTATTCAGAAATTATTTACACTGAATAATTTGTTAAATGAATATTTATACCTTGCCAAATAGTTTAAGGCCGGCCGGTGCATTCTACACATAACAAAAACCATAGAAAAAGCAATAAGGGGTGGGGTGCCACGTGTAAGGAGCCCATTAAGTGGGTGGGGGATGAAGTCAGCTAGAGCTAAGCATCCATTTTTGGTGGGCCATTTTGGTTAGATTTGCCTTTTGGAGGACCTTTTGGAGGATCGTAGCATGGGATTTGTTCAGTTGTGGGGTTGTGGATGAGCAGCTACTGAACGTGAAGGAAGGAAGTTGGTAATTATTAGGAGCCAATTCAGACCCACCAACCATCCTCAAAGCAGTGAAAATGTTCAACTTGGTGTCAAGGAGCACCACCTACTTAGGTCCACCTCCTAATCATCAATGTAATTAACCCTATTTCATCACGTCCATGAGCCCTAAACAGTATATTTTATGATGCATGCAGAATGAGAAGGTTTCTCTAAGTACGAAGTAGTCGTTTATATGAGGGTAAAAGTTGAACATGTACGTAGATGGATGTTTACCCAATTACCTATTGATCCTCTTATTGATCTAATTTGGTGAAATTTTTACCTCTAAGATATTAGAAATTAATATGGAACATATATCTTGCTCTCATGTCTTAATTTTTTTTTTTTTTTTTTATCATTTGGATATTGCAATTTTAATGTTCAAACTAATTCTTTATTATTCGTCGAACGTTTAATAGAGACATAATTATTCAAAAAAATTTCGTATATACAAAGACTTAAATCTGAAATCATTTATTTAAACGACTAAAGTAATTTTCGCTCAAGCTATCTATTTTGAATCTATCTCTTAATTATTTAAGTAAAAGAATTTTACAATAATATGGAAATTTATGTACTCTTTATTCAATAACACATTTCTTTGAAGTAATAATAAATGTAGTGCATGTTTAATTCATAGTTAACCAGATGAAACATAATAATATTGAATTTGAATAAAATAAATTTATATCGTAGAAAAGGTGAGATACAGAATCCGACTATTTAACTGAGTAAAACTATTTTCTTTCTCATATCATGTGTATACCTAACATTCAAATGTAACTTATAAAGTGGACTTATTATGTTAGTCTAGGGTTATAAAAACACTACTCAAATATGAATAAAAAAAACATGCATGGTTATTCTGATTTGGTTTTTTGGTCAAATTTGTTTTTTATCATGAAATTAAATGTAATAAACCTTAAATTTTTATTAACCCATTAACTAGTGTCACATGGACCCTTTAACCTAATCAGTAAGTTAAATAAAGATATATGATGAAACTCACGACAAGTGGGTGATGGAGATTAATAGAGACATTTTGAAAACTACAATTCCTATATATATAGGTTAAAAGGGTCTAAGCTCCCTTGAACTTTTAAGTAATTTGAAGTTCTTAAATCTTTTTATTGGTTTTGGATATCTAAACTTTTAAATTTTTTAGATTTAGTTAATGTAATAATTTTAAGCTATCATCTTCTACTTTTTTAAAAAAAATCAATTCTTGATATTTTAATTTGAAATTTTGCAAACTTGTTGAAAATATTCAATCCATCTGTAGAAAAAAAATTCAAAATTTTTCAAAAACAAAAAACTAAATTTGTTTTTTTTTTAATATTAAAAATATAAAAAAAATTTGAAAAAAATAGAAAATAATCTTGAAATGATCCTAAATTTTTTTAGGAACCACATATAAATCTCAATGAATGATTTTTATCATGAAACTATATATATAATTATTATTTTCTGAGATAAATGATAAAAAAATTGAAAGATAAGATAAATCTATAAAAAAAAAAAAAATTAAAAATCAGAGATTCTCAAAACCAATAAAAAAAACTTAAAGAAGTTCAAATAATTTAAAGTTTAAAGATGGTTTAAACGTTTTAGCCATATATATATATGAAAAGCTTAATTGAGGTGTTTCCAATATCACTCAATGGAGGTGTTGTTTAAATAAAGGGTTGTTTTCATATTTATTTTCCAATCTAAGAAAAAGGGACGGGACATCTTGGTTGGTGGGAAGGGAATAAATTATATAAATAAAAATAGGGTGATGGACAAGCTTAATTGTGATAATTGGCGTTATGATGATAAAGTACATAACTAAAATTTTTAATAGATAATCATGAAAAAGAGTATGTGCGGACCGAGGAGCCACACCCACACGCGATCATGTAGTGGCAAAGGCATCGAAGGTGATAGATTCCTTTCGCTTATTTGCGTTCACACCTACGACGCCTTCTAACCTAAAGATTCCATCACAAAACCGTGTTCACACGTGATCTACCTAATGAGCCACTTTTGGTTTAGGCTTGCTGGCAGCCTAGCTCTACCGGTTAGCCGCTCGGTTTTAGCATCATGGGAGAAACATCATTACAAAAAAAAAAAAAAAAAAAAAGAGTTGAACGTATAGTTACTATTTATTGTATTATTTAAAATATTATTTATTCGGACTTATTTATACTAAAATTTTATAATACTCAAAAAAATTAGTGTAAATTATTTCATAGAGAAAGATAAATACAAACAAAAAAGAGAAATAAAAAAGAAAAAATTATAAAAAATTGAATTAACGTAGAAATCTTTTTGTCGTTTTTTGTGGATCTGGTGTGATTCTTTGTTTTTATGTATCTATCTCTTTCCTAAAAAGTAAAATTATGAAATAACTACCGTATATATCTACTAATTACTACTTGATTATTATAAAAATTTATTCATTCATACTATTTACTCGGACTCGGATGCACTATTTATTTTACTATGCATTGATATTTTTATAGTTTTAAAATATTTTTATGACATGTATTATGAAAATTTTCATAACATTACACTTTGATCTCTCTTTTAAAATATTATTTTTTTAGTTTGTAAATATTTTTTATTTGATTTTGGTACCTCCCTTTTTATTTTATTTTGATCACTTTGATTCTTTTTTTCTCTATTTTTTTTAATAAAAAATTATTAAGGCAAAAAAATGTTTTAAAAAATAAAAACAATTACACATATAATTTATGAAAAATATAAAAAATAATCGGTCAAATACAAAATTTTGATTAAAAATTATAAAATTGAATGAATTTTTATTCAATTTTAATTTGATATATTTTAGTATATGCATAATATAACACAAAATATTAAACTAAAATAATTTTTAAAAAATAATTATATGTGTTCTGTCTAATCCACGACATAACACACAAACCAAAAGAATTATCGACTTTTTAACCCCAGCGAGGAAGAACACCAAACCAAAAAGCTTATAGTCCATAGTAGTAGTCTCTTGTAATAAGAAGTAACATGTTCAAATTTAGTAAACTAGTTCTGATCAAAGCTTTGGAGGTGTGAGTAAAAAAGAAAAAAAAAGAGAAAAAACACTACGGCCATTAAGCCAAGCTTAGCCGAGCCATGCAAGCACCAGCAATAGCTACCCACCAGCGGCAACTTTATTATGGATAGGATCGTCACATGCAAAGTGGCAATTAGGTCAACACTAATCACTTGCCAGGTCACCCAGCATGTCATCTTACGTGGCAACAAATTAGGTCTGACTCTTTCTCCCTCGTCTCCTGCTCCGACCATACCCCTCTCTCCCTATATAATAATCCCATTCCTCTTCTTGCCCAAAACTTGCTTTCCTAGCTATCTGCGCAAACGTCTATACATTTTCACATCCTTAAGATTGAGAGAAAAATGGGAAATTGTATAAGGCATGAATCACAGGGTTTTTCAGGGTTTGACATGCAAGAGAAGGTCATGAGCAAGGTTGAAGAGGAAGGGTTTCTCGGAGATTTCACATCTTCTTCAACAACAACATCAACATCAACTCCTTCATGCACAAAAGTGAAGATCAAGATTACAAAGAAACAACTTGAGGAGTTGCTTGGTAAGGTTGAAGTAAAGGAACTATCAGTGCAGCAAATTTTGTCCCAGTTGATCAATGGCAGTAGTGATCATGGATCATATGAGCCGCATCACCAGCCTTGGAGGCCTAATCTACAGAGCATACCTGAATGATTATGAGCTGATTTTGATATCCCTGATCTGGGTGTACATGGTTTTGTTTTGTTTTGTAGGAAAAGATATGTAGCCTTGGTAGCTAATTAAGCTAGCTAGCCCTATACATTTTGTTCACTTTTGTGCATATAGGAAACAATTTTTGGTTTTATAGTTAAAAGAATCGCTTTGATCCCTTTTCTCTTTAATTCTTTGTCTTAAATCTGTTCTTTTTCCTTTACCATATTGAGCGACATTTTTATCCACAAATGTTGCCCCTGCTTGTTGCTTGTTGGTTTGTGTTTGATGCACAAACCCTCAAATTCTGAAAGAACATATTGGGACTTCAGAAATGTCAAAAGACCATCTTTCTGGAGTAACTTCAAATTCTGAAAGGATAGATGGGGACTTCAGAATTTAATGTCAACAGGCTATCTTCTTGTAGTAATTCTACGCATGACTTGTAAATGGAAACTGCTATCCCACAGATCCCATCAGATGCACTTTATGTTTAACTTTCTTTATTTAAAGTAATCACCACCTCACTGTTAAATTCAAAAGAATACTGCGAAAAAGAAAAAGAAAAAGAAAGAAAAAGTTTCCATACATCGATGATTTTCTTAAAATCAGATCCAAAAGAGGATCGAAAATATCTGATTGTTAAAAAGAAAGAGTGACTTTACTAGATTAAAAAATTCATGGATTTGAACAGTAGTCTTATAGCAGCTAATATTTAATATTTAATTATTTTATTTTTAATCAAATCGGGAACTGATCAGAAGTTGGCCAATCAACTTGCATGGCCGACATTAACAGGGACCCTTTAAACCATTCCATGTGCTGTGTCATTGTCATTCAACCACTGAAAGAAAATAGTTCTGTCCATTTTATATATATACACACACACAGTTACACAAAGACACAAGAGGTCAAGAAAAAACCTCGACCAAACCGTTCGAACTTCAACCCAAAACAAAGGAAGAAATTGTCAGAGGGAGATCAATATTAGGGCTAAGTCAATTGAAGAGGACCATATCAACCTGCTTCATTAATTAAACTATACATTTTTTCATGTTTCCATAATGGTTGGCTCTAAGGCTGAGTCACCCCTTTCATGTATTTTCTTGTTTTTTTTTTTTTTTTTTTTTTGCTAGCAAAAATAATGCTAACCCTATTGAAAATCTTTTGAAATAATTAGTAGCAGCACTCTTCTTGAAGGTTTCGAGTACTCATTTTCTTCTCATCAACTTGAAGGAGTTGCTTTCACAATTAATCCAAGGATAGCAGAGCTCTTCCATCGATTAAAAGCATGGCGGGTAATGACTTGCAATTGGTCATCCCAAAATGAGAACTCATTCATTGCTATTTCCATTGTCAAATAATTTAGCTACCATTTTCAGAGGCAGTAATCAATAAATCAATAAATGAAACGGTGGAATAAGAGCCAAAAATTGATAGAACAATGAATCACAGTACTGAAAGTCAAAATTGCAGGCACACAGTAGCTAGACAAAATGTTGGTCCCTGCAAAAATAGTTCACTGCTGGATACATGGCAGCAGCCTGAAATTGCAGCCAATAACTGTTACTGTTCTATTACGTAAAATCGAAAAATAACTGCAATCAGATGAGATGCAAAAGGTTGAAAGCAAGAGTCCATTTGGCAAAATAATGCATTTGGCTTTTCCGGAGCTTTAGGGCTTTTGCACTGTAAACCAATGGAAAAGGGTGTTTTATAACATTCTAAATTATGTTTTCAAAACTATTTGAGCCAAAAATCAGAAGCCATAAATTGAAACCTCTGGCTTTCAAGTATGTAATAGCATAAAAACATTCTAACACCACATATTACTGATTTTTTTTTTTTTTTTTTTCACATCCATAACAGCCACAGCTTACAGCTACAATCACAGCGAAAAAGCCACGGCCATCCCGAGACAGACCACAAAAACATGAATGTTTCACAGTAATACCAACCTTTTCTAACCAAATTAAACAGTGATGCTGTAAACAATTTTCTGGCCAAGCATAAACAGCCAATCCTGCATGCCATGGAAAACTAACGAGTATTTTATTACGAATTGATGCCTTAACTGAAATTGAATGTTTCGTTGTTTCATTATGATCATACAAAAGCAGCAAAAGGTACATACAACAGCTTTATTGTTTAAAAGCAACTTAACAAACTGGATAGTACAACAATCCTCTAGTTCCCAAGGAACTTGAGAAATAACATGTTTCTGTTTTCTGTGGTTTGATTTTGCAGAGTTACTATCATCTATACTCTTGGAAGTTGACATGGCCTGTGGCTTGTGCATGCTCGACAGCCTCCTAAATATAAACATGAAAAATGAGAACATAGAAACTGAAGAAAATTGATCCCAGCTCCATATAAGCGTAAAGCTCAATATAAGCACCAAGAATGGAACAAGTAGAGTAGCGCAATATGAACTAACCTTCTGACCAATTACTCCAATTTGGCATACCCCACAGCGCAAAGTGAAGTTAGCAGTGTCGGTGTAACTTCGTTTCCTACAAGTAATAGAGCGAAATAAATATTTCATGCTTACAAGATTCCCTAATTGGCATATACATAAAAAATAGGGAAAAGAAATATAAAGAGATAAATCATTGCTAGAAGGAGAATTGAATAGGAAAGCTTCTAATGCTCCTAAAATGCAGAGCAGCATAGGATTAAAATACATTTAGACTGACCTGTATGCATCTTATAAATCTAATTCATAAAGACTCTAGAATGTCAAAGATGTTTTCAAGAAGAAATGAACTAGGCTGCCAAAAAAAGATCCATGGTCATCAAGCTTATCTTTAGCATCTGAATTATTTGGACCTTGTATAGAGAACATTTTGTCTGTTGATGTAGTCTACTTCCAGTCATACTTATGTATTCAGAACAGGATATGCAGAAGTTACATATTTCGTATTTAGAATCTGAATATGAAACTTCTTTCCTTGTATTGAAGTACTTGTCATATTTTGTTTACAAAAATAATACCTTTGTTGCTCTTTAACAAGATTAAGAGCAAGACCTTCAGCTGGTCCTATTGTCCTGCCCTTTTGTACAGAAAATATGGTCTGATCAAATTCCTCTGGAGCATCCTCAAATGGAGACATCTGTTTGTATGCATAACCATGAGAACGGTTCATAAGTACGATACACAAACATTTAAAAAAAAAAAATTGGCATTTGTTATAAACACAATCCTGCAAGCTATAAGTTCACTGTGCAATCTCTCTGATGGTTTGGACCATAAATTTAAATAACAGCCGTTATATAACTGTTTCGAGGCACCCCATTACCATTGTTCGGTGACATATGGATCCCATTGCCGTTTCACATAAATATCGGTGAATAACAGGCGTTACCGCTATGTAACGCTATATAATGAAGTTATATATATATATATATATATTTCAGCCTTGCACTTTGCATCCTACCCATGTGATTTTATCCTTATTTTTCACCTTTGTTTTTCTCCCTATCATTCAGCGTTTGCAGACTTGAATTTGTCTTTTTTTAAAAAAAAAAAAAAAAACCCTACATGTCGGCCTTTGCACTTTCTACTAATGTATTAACGACATTGGTTGCCACAACTGTTATTTCACCACCACAATAAGCCGCAACCAGCAATTGCAATCACAACTATTTTTTTCAACTGCGTCTGCAATTTAAAACTATAGTTCGAACTATGTTTGACCATAAGATTTCCCTTGTAGGGGCTTAGACCACAGAAATTCTACATCCGTGGACACATATTTTCCCCCTTTTTTTCTTATCCTCCTTTAGTACTACAATTTGTCAAGAAAATCAAGCTAAAATTTAAATAAATATATATATTGGCAGTAAGAAAACATACAGCTAAAGCATCATAGTGGAGTCCATCATAAATCAGCATGGCCCTTTCTGAGTACTTCCTCTCCTGTCAAATTGCAGCATAAAGATAAAGGGAAGAGGGAGAGGGGTGTAAACGCTCAGTAATGCTCATGTTGGTGATATTTCAAACAACAAGAACATATTAGTAGAGCTGACCTGACCATACAAATCACATCGTGAGGTCTGGATATCATATGCTGCAATTTCACGTCCATAATAATCTGCTAATATTGAGAGCTCAATGGCACCTTCACATGAGAGCACCAGACAATAAAAGTAATCAGAATACAACAACAAGCAAACAAACATTCTGAAAGCATACAGAGTTTAGTGCAAGATTGTGAAAGAAAAAGAATGCATGAAAGAACTTAGTAGATAAAGATCCCAAGAAAAGCAGACAGAATTTAGTGCCTATCAGATTAAAACAAATTGAAAGACTTAAAGGCATGCTTAATAGAAGCAAAGAACCTAACAATCACCAACATCCTAAACTGAATGATTACTTTACTGCTAAAATGTAGTGCTTAAGATGCCAATTGCAGTATCTAGCTCATTACGAGAATACCAAAATTTCCTACAGAAAACTAGAGACAAGATTTCCAGTTCAAAGGTTATTCCTTGCTGCATTTCCTGAATCCTTTTCTTAGGCAGAAAAAAATTAAATGCATTGCTTTCTTTATACATGCTTGAAAGTTGAAAATATGTATTGTGAGATATAAAAGAATTCTTTGATTGAAGTTAAATTACATGATTAATCTATTGATAGCTTTCCTTTGAAGAAACGAAAAACTAAAAGGTGCTTTATTTTGTAAAGATTCCAGAATCCATGTCCTCTACAATGAACAAAGGAACTTGGTATAAAGCAATGAATAATACATGGGGTGACTTGTTGCACAAGAGAATAAAGGATTTCACTACAAATAGATAATAGAATCCCAATGCTAAACAGAGGGGAAAATTCAATTTATCTTTACCAACTTTTTTAGCTCGTGACATCAAGATGCCAAACTCTAGGAGTTCAATGAATGAGTGATAAAAAGTCCTTCTACACAACAATCTCATGTTTAATATAGTCAAACACTTCACTTCAGTAACCAGCCCTTTAGACATTAAAGCACCATCTCCATAGGCAAGAAAAAAAAAAGTTCCAACCTACCTCCCCACTTCTCAGAGTCAAGGATCCAAGTACAATATTCGCTATTTGGCTTCCCAAGAAATGCTTCATTATATTTTTCTGGATTGCTTGCCACTGTTGCAGCAATAACCTTAAAAAACATTGATTGCAAAGAAATCAATAAAACAATATAGACAAAAAAAGAAAGAAAAAAAGAATACAGAACATCAATAATGCAGAGATTTGAAATGAAAATGGAAAGAAGAGTTGTTTCCTTTTCAATGATTTGAAAAGTATCAAGATGTGAAAGATACTTCAGGATACCAAATAGCAACTGCAGCAATGTCAAGCCATGGCAATCTATTCTATGTCCTGACACTTGGCAAATTGATGAGCAGTTCTGGAAAAGATTCCATGCAAAATATTGCTCTAGAATCAGATCCGCTCACAGATGGAATCAATTTAAAGGGACCGATTCTGAATCCCAATTCCACAGCGTCTACATATTTCACATTTCTGCAATCATATGCAGCATGCGTTATTCCATTCAGCTGATTAGGATCTTGAATTTGGGATTCAACTTAGGTGATAATCATTATGCTTTCTTGTTGCCTGGAAAATTTTTAGTCACGACCTTATACCCATTCCTTCATAACATCTTATCTAAGAGCTAATGATAATGATGACAAATACACCACATGTCACTTTTTTAAGCTAGCGTAATTTTTATTCTCACACTAGAAAATTATCTTCATTTGCTCCAAGCAAAGAAGCTAAGTAATATAAAACTCTGCCAAGTTGGGTGCTTCAAGTGAAAACCTTCTGTCACATCTCAGCTAAGTGTAGGGGCGATGGTTTCCACTTAATCTAGTTGAAAATTTCTGTTTTATTTCCCTGCCACTACCCATGTTCTTATTTTACTTGTTTACTTTCCTCAAAATATGACCATGCAGCATTCAAAGGCATCTCCAATTATGGTAAAAACAATTGTTTCCACCGAAAAGAAAAACTAAAATTAAAAAAGTGAAAACGGAACACACTTATTTATATCTAGACATCTAATCCTGCAACTAGCAGTGTACTAAACATGCAAAAACGTAACTCCACACCAGGAATCACACACACATATTCGTTCATATACAGTATTGCTACCAGATTGAACACGGCAAACACTTTTTCCAATTCAAAAATAAAAAGTTCGTGCTTTAAAGTGAATTTTTTAAGAATCAAGTTGCTCCAACTACACTCAATCTACATAACGAATATTAAAAAGGTTAAAAAATTACACTAATTTTGCATATTGAAAGCAAAGCTAAAATAAAGATCAGCAGCAAGAACCTGTCTCAACTCAGGAGCTTTCTTTTTGTCATGGTCCATAACATAGCTGCAAACAAGCAAAACAACAACATCAAATATTGAAACTTTGCCAGCAACTCATTCAATTGAAGCAAAAAATACTCAAACAACAACATCAAATATTGAAACTTTGCCAGCATCATAGTTTAAAACTTACCCAACGGCATTGAAAAGACAACTATTGTCCGAGGGAATGACCCTTCTAACAACGATTCCTTCCATGGTATCAACAAACAAGAACCTGAAAGCAATCCCAGGTAAATTATCAGCTTCATAATTGTTATTCAAAAGGTACTAAAAATTACAAGAACCCAAACTTAAAAACTTGGAACAACTACTATACACCTGCCAAAAAAAAATGAAAAGGACCCAAATTTCCTCCAAGCAAAACCAACCCAGATGCAGAAACACAACAAGAAAAGGAAATGAATGTTTTATAAGAATCTTTCATAAAAAATTTAAAAAATGCCCAAAAGAAGCATGTGTATGTTACAAGGAGATGCTGATAGATCCAGTATGCATAGCAAGAACATAACTTTAAGGCAAAGAAACTTCAAGAAAAGGTAAAGAAGGCAAAGCAAGAAACAATAAAAACCTTAATTATCTATAGAAATAGTGCGGTTATGAGTGAAGAAGAAACCTGACAGGTTTTGGAAATGAAAAGAGGAGTAGTTGAGAGAGAGACAGAGAGAAGGCTTTTTTGGGTTCGAGATTTTGTTATTTGGTATTTGTTATCGGTGTGTTTTTTTAAGTTCCCATTTAACTCAGGGGTTTCCCGTGCCTAATTACTATTTAGTATTTTATTTTTTTAATTCTTTACATTTACGCATCTTTTTGGAATCAGTTTTTTTGCATGAATCCAAATTAAATTCATTATTTCCTACTGAATTCAACATTTTTATCTGAAAATGCGAATTTATCATATCCATATGAAAATGTGTTTTTAAAATTCTTGAACCAGAAAATTTGATATCAATTGCAAAAATTATTCGAAGATATACTTGACCTGAGTATTTAAATACCACTTTGTGCAACTATTATATTTCGTGTAATGCATGCACGATAAAATTTAAATCATTTAATAATGTTATTTAAATACCACTTTGTGCAACTATTATATAAGCCATGCACGATAAAATTATGAATTAATGACATAAAATATTAAATTCATATGAATGCACCCCACAGAAAATTAAAATCACATAAAAGAGACTCTAAGCTGGCATCATAAAGTATTTTTAAACTTGCCTTTTGTAGCAAAAAATATTTATATGCGTGTCATGTATGCACAATAAAGGCATACTTATTTTGCCATAATTGAGATGCCATTTTTTATATAGGTGATTCTTGCTAGATTAAATGCCAAAGCAAAAAACAGTAATAGAATCTCTGGCATCATCCTGTGAATTTGCACTTGAATGTATATATTAGCACGATTTTGGATATGGTATCAAATTGGATTGGCGAAAGTAGTAGTTGCGTGATCCTGATGACAATGTATATATATGCCTGTGTTATCAATTCAGACAACCAGAATCTCTCAAGTCCTATCCAAAGAACATAAAACAGACCAATCTAGTCAAGAGGAAGTTCCTACAGGTAAGACGGAGCATATTTGATTGCCAACCAAACACGAGACTACCAACTAGGCTGAGGAATAGCTAGGGATGGCAATGGAACAGGGCACGGATGGCCATCTCCATTCCCATCTCATGCCTCGTTTGAAGTAATATTTTACGTACCATTTTCACTTCAAACCAGACAAACCGAGATGAGACAAGCTTCGTTAAATTGCCATTTCTAAAGGTAAAAAGACCAAGCCAAAAGACCAAGGCAGAGGCGAGGATGGCCATACTCCGTTCAGAGCGATATTTCACATATCATCTCTATCTCAAATGAGGCCTGCCTCATCGGGGCAGGTCAAATTGCCATCCTTGGGAATAGCTGAATAGGAGCTGTATCATATGCAAGGTTAACATATCGGTTGCAGCTTCCAAGGCTAAAAAATTCTGGCTTAAAACTTCATTTTAAGTTCATCGTCATCCAATAATGGCACTAACAAAAGTTCTTACGGAAAGCTGTAAATTCATTCCTAAATGTTTGTCCATTTTTCGGTTCCATGACAACCCTGGCACTTGCCCCAGTTCTCAGGCATGTCCAATAGTTTACTAATAATGGGTACAACATCCAAGGGGAAGTAAAACAAAAGTAGAGGCCGTTATCATGCATGCCCTCTCCCCTTTATTAGCCTGAGCACTTCCTGAAGACAGCCAGATTGAATTCCTTCACATTATTAACTTGAGCGCTTTCTGTAGATGGCTAGGTCACATGCTTCAAACAGGCTGAAGCTCCACCTTTTTCGGTAGTTCAGCAATGCACTCGATTTCGATCCTGGCATCCAATGGCAATGCTGCTACCTGGTATGTTGCACGAGCAGGAAATGGTGCAGGGAAGTCTGTAGCACAAACCATATTATGAACTTAGGATTGCAAATTGCAATAATGTCAGATAACAAATTGTTGTTTTCACATCAAGGCCAAGTCTCTTTCAGGGAAAATGATGGACAAAATACTTTTTAAAGAAATTTCCTGAGACATGCCCTTATGTCTAAAAGATCCTTCAGAAGCTTAAATGTTATCCGGTAATCACTTATCACCAAAAAAAAAAAAAAATGATTTTACAGAAAGGCTCTGGGACTTGGCCAAACTTTACCAGAAAAATGAAGAAAATAACCCAAAATAAAGCAATACACAAAATTCTCACATACATAATGCATTATAATTGAGAGTTAGCGAAAAATGATTCACCCGTTCCAGTTTCAGTCAACATCCCAAGTTAGTGGCATGTTGATCATATATGATATATGCATGTTGTATCAAATGCCTAACAATCCTACTGCAGCTGAGACAAACAATTCATAACCCATCTAGATGCCTGATCTATATTTATCTCATTATATAGGTCCAGATTTTTGGTCAGCACTGCCAAGAGTTTCACAATGTCATGGATTATCATCTGCAATGCAAGGCAGTGGAGATTTTTACAAAAGCATATCCTACATTTGCAAAGTGATATTGTAATGTTCTCATTTTCTTTTTTGTTCGCAGGTCCAATTTAGTGTAGACATGGTAATTTGCTGCAAAAACTAGGTGAAAGCCTATATGTTCCATAACATGCCAGTACAAATAATCTGCACAGATAATTCAATCGAACATACATTTTGCATAGATGTCATTCACTTTCTTGAAGTCTTTCAAGTCAGCCAACCTGCAGAAAACACCAAAATAAGAAGCAGAAAAAAGCTAATTCTCTTTCCAATCTTCAATAAAAAACAAATGTTGCAAAGTGAAAAAGAGAATCCTACATTATTGTTGTCTTTACTACTGAGGAATAGTCACCACCACTAGCTTTCAGTATCTCCCCCATGTTCTTTAATACCTGTAAAGTTCATGAAGTCAAATCTGTCAGTTATCAATCCGTTTAGCAGCTTTGAAACTCAGAAGTTATCCATTGCATATTTGCAGTCAATCTAAGGCCAATCAACAAAATAGGACCAAACTAATTCAGTATACAACCAAAGGGGATCTCAACAAAATAGGGCCAAACTAATTCAGAATACAACCAAATGGGATCAAAACACCATTCTTGAAGAGGGTGATGATTGAGAGGAGAAATTGCAAAGGAATAACATTTAAGAAAAGCCCATGTTGATTTTTAAAGGGAAACACTATATCAGCGGAAAAGACAACTCGCTACAACTGCAGCACATCTTCAAATAAAGCAGGTTGATCATAACAGGTAGAGAACACTAAACTAATAAATAAAATTGCTAGAACCATTAGAGCCGGCCTCTTGAACTGAAAGTCACCTCAAGAAAGAAAACAAGTCTACAACGTGAATTGCTAATTCAAAGGTTGCTTCTGTACCTGTTCGGTCTGATCCTCAACATCCTCTGAGACAAACTTCCCAGTCTGCATTAAATAATTAAGAACATATCATAAGTATACAAGGGATTCTGAATTGAAAAAAAAAAAAAAACATAATATACATGCAGTAGCATGGTTTGGTCTCGACATTTGATACTCCAAAAGTACAAGTTACAAAAACTAAAAGAACAGAAAATACGGAATGCCATCAAATAATTATTCAAAATGAAAATAAAGAATTGATCGTACCTCTGGAATGAGACCTAAAACCCCAGAAACAAATACAAGGTTATTGGATTTAATTGCTTGAGAATATGGTCCCAATGCTGCTGGTGCCTTGTCTGTTTTAACAGCCTCTTTTTTAGCTACAATCAAAACATACATTCACCATTTTAGCCATCAAACATACAAAATCAAATCCCCGCATAAATCAACCTCCTTCCTAGCAAATTCCTTCATGTATTTCTAAAAACCAACTAAAACATTTTAAAACAATAACACCAATAATGATCAAAAAGTCTCTAACTTTTCTACACATTTATCAAGCAAATACCTTGACACCCAATTCAACAAAAGTCCCAAACTTTTCTATTCTATTGATCATTTACACACAAATTAACCAAACCCCAGAAATCATTTCCTGTAAAAATTCAAACTTTTCTACTCTGTTGTGTACGTTAACACACATTAACCAAAACCTAGAAATCATTTCTCATAAGGTCCCAAACTTCATATTAGATTCATTTAGTTACACACATTTAGCTGATCAATTCAAAATTGTAGAATTCGTAATAAAGAAAGAAACTTTTAAGAGAGAAAGAGTTACTAGAGAAAGTGTGACCGCTTAAGGTAGCGAAAGGAGTGGTTAATCGATTGGAACAACACTGCCGCCAGAGACTGGTGGTGACGACGGAAGCGCAGCCAATGCCTCCTATGGCAACCGGGGTTCGGTTGCGCACTGCGCCGACGTTCATCAATGAGACATTAAACGTTTTTAGAGCACACCACGACATTTTTTTCTCTTGTTTGTCTGTCTCTCAGTGACTGGATGGTTCCGTCGCTTTAGTTGTAATGTTTTAAGTTAATGGTGCTGTTGCTCCGCCTCTTAATTTGTCACTTTAGTCCTCTTAATTATTTTTATCGTAATATCATCCTCCACTCCTTCTTTTAATAATCATTATATTGTGTAAACTAGATGATACCATGTGGCATCCATTTTTAAATGACACAAAGCAATCAATAACGCATTATTATACTGTAAACTAAATTAAAATAATTTTTCAATTGTAACAATAAACAGTTGAAGGAATTATAATCAACAATAATTAATACTATTTATTATTGTACTTTAGTTTTTTTTGTTTTTTTTGCTAGCACCCTCTAGTCTTCTTTTTCTTTTTTGTTTCGCAAACGACTCCCCCCTTCATTTTTTTCTTTCTAACACTGAACAATTTTTATAAAAAAATTTTCATCCATTTATTGTTCACATGAACGAGTAACGATTGGTCTTCCTTTTTTCCTAAACATTGAACTTTTTAAAAAAAAATTTAGTTTCTTAATAATGTTAGGTGTTAGAATTTTAAAGGAATCAACAATTAATTGAGTGTTAAAATTTTAAAGAAACCAATAATTTATTTCTTTTATTATTTATTTCTAAAATTTAAAATATCTAATTTTTCTTTTGGTGTGACCATTTTTTTATTTTCGATTTCGAAAAGTGAACAGTTTTTTTTTTTTAATTTTTTTTTCTGAATAATGTTGGTGTTAAAATTTTAAAGGAACCAACAATTAATTGGGTGCTAAAATTTTAAAGGAACCAATAATTTATTTCCTTTATTATTTATTTCTAAAGTTTAAAATATCTAATTTGAAAAATAATGTTTTTTTTTTATAAGCACATGCATATTATATAAAATATTACTATCACATAACATAATTTATTAATTAACAATTACATAAGATGTATCTCTAAAAAAAAAGTACATATATTATAATAAAGAATTTTATTACTCATAGTTTGTCATTTATTACTATTTTCATTAATTTTTCATTTCTTTTAAATTTTCATCTAATTAATTTAAAATTATATTTACTCATAGTTATGATTTATTTTAATATTATTCATCTAATTAATAAAAATTAAATTCACATTTTCTTCAAAAATCGATATTCTCATCAACATGAAAAAAAAAATACTTGTTCAATTCTATGTAAGCTTTTAGTAATTGTTATTTTTGTTATTTGACACAATCTTATAAAATACTAAAGCTTTTTTTTAAAAAAATATTTAATTTTCTTTTTAGTTAACAAAGATAAATCCTTTTTGTAAAGAAAAAAATATGAAAAACACAAATAAGAAATAGTTAAATATAAAATTTTTTATTAAAAATTATAATTTTTTTTTACCTTTAATTTCATATATTGTTATAGATTTACGACATAAAATAGATTATTAAACTGAAATAATTTTTCTAAATGATTTTATATATTTTATCCAACTCGCGGCAGTAGTGCGGGTAAAAAATCGAGTTCTCTCTATGAAATTTTTTTCCATTCTCCCAAAACAAAGGTTTTGCCCTTCTTTTATGTTATGTTGTTGATATGAGGTTCGATATGAGGTTTGCAGTACTTTTCTTTTCATTAATTTTGCTTTCTTGTTCGGGTTCCTTTTTTTATCTTTTTCATTTTCAATAAAAAGTGGCTCCCCCTCTCATTCATATTCTTTCACTTATTAGGCATTAAGAATTGTAAAATCTATCATTTTTAAAGTAGGTTTGTGATGTAATTTTTCAATTTTACAATGAAAAACTTAAGACAAATTCCAAATTCTACTAATGGATGTAAATGAAAACCTTTATTTAAGAATTGAATAAAAAATACAAAACCACAATGTAAAAGTACAAGAAAACAGAAAAGAAGAAGAAGAAATTACGTAGAACTCTAGAAAAAAAAATTACGGACGGAAGATACTCGGTTGCTAAAAAAATCCAAAATACAATTCTAAACTTCTTTCTTCCCTCATTAATACACTAGCCATTAGATACAATCCTAACAACAATCTAACTCGACTAATAACAAACGGCTACATTATCATTTTAACAAACCACACTCGTGTTTCAAAAACTTCCTTCTTTCATCCTATATGTCATTCATATATTTTAATGACTCGCCCCACTTTGCCACATAATTTCTCCTCTAATTCTCTCCTACATTATTACTTGTGATTCAAAACCCTTATATTGTAACCTACAATCTAAAAACCATTTTCTTCCCGAACTTGCATCAATACCCATTACTCAAAAGACCTTATCTTCAAGGTCAAAATGTGGAAAACATCTCTCCAACTCAAAAAGAAATTCTCAAGTGGCATATAATGGAGATCCATTAGAAAATTGGATTAACATTTTGGTGAAAGCCTAATTGCCACATTCAATCATAGAAAAGTCATTGAAAAAACTAGTGTCTCCACCGATGTAGACAGTTTCCCTTGGACTATGATTTAACCATAAGCATGTTTTAACTAAAAAACATAGAATGTGGGATGAATCAATGAATGAAAAGGAAGTTTGATTTGTATGTTGACTTCCCAATTTTATCCAGAATCTTAAAAGGTCCAAATTACTTAGGAGATAATTTCTAATTCTTATGAACATTGATAGCTTGCTGCCCATAGAGTTGTAATTTCAAATACACCAAATCTTCAATTTGAAAGACTTTGTTAGACCTTCTCTTATATGTTTGATGCTTCATATGTTATTAGGCCTTAATTAAATAAAACTTCAACGATTCAATGATTTTTTTTCTTGTAAAAACTAATTTATAACCTCTACCTTGTAACTATTTAATAACTAGAGTAAATGTAAATGAGGAGAGTAGCCATATAATGCCTCAAAAAGAGAACATTTGATGGTGGAATAAAAAGAAGTGTTGTATCGGTATTTTGCCAAACACGGTCATTTACTCCAATTGTTAGGAATAGATGAAGCCATACAATAAAGATAAGTCTATAAACAACGATTAGCCACCTCTTTTTAACCACTTACTTAAGTATGGTATACGGTAGAAAACTTAAAAGGAACTTCACGATAAGTAAAAATTTCCCTCCAAAATTTACTAAGAACACGGGATCCTTGTCATAGATGATGTTGTGGAGCAATCCGTAAAGCTTAAACATAAATTCCATAAACACTTTTTCCATAAAACTAGCGAGAATACGAGTGAGATAAAATGTAAAATGAGCATATTTAGTTAACCTATCCATCACAACAAAAAATCATAAATTTACCTTATAATAAAGGTAGTCCTTCTATAAAACCAATAGTAACATCTGTAAATATCGCCTAAGGTAAGGGTAAAGGATTAACCATACCTAAACCGGCAATATTTTGATATTCATATTACCGACACACGCTGCGAGTTGCGAATGAACTCTAGTACACCTATAGTCAATACTTCTCAATATAATAATATTGCTACCCTTCTAGTTGTAACCTCAATCTTAGATGCCCCTCCATTATTGAGTTATGAAACAATAAAATCAATTCTTTTCTTAAATCTAAATTTTTCCTAACTATTAGTTTACCCTTTATCGTTAGCCATTGATCTTACCATTTGAAATCTGGATGTGAACCACCGGGTTTCTATAATTGAGTAATCATTTTCGAGTATGATCTATATCCCACGTAGACTAAATCTTTGAGGTTTTATGGAAACTAGTGACATGACTAATGTAGACGACTCCACTCTAGATAATACATCAATCACATTATCATCTCTTCCCTTTTTGTACACAATATAATAGTCATACCCTATTAATTTGACTAACCAAGTCAATTGTCCAATTATATAAATTCTCTACTCTAATAAATGCTTCAAACTTTGATGGTTAGTATGAATTATAAAGTGTCTATAAGTTAAGTATTGATTCCATTTTTTTAATAGTAAATAAATTAACAAAAAAGTCTTTCTCATAAACAAACAAGGACTAATGTTTAAAACAAAACGTCTTACTAATATAAGGTAAATGATGTCCGTTTTGCATTAATACAACCTCAATCTCAACCACTAGAAGCATCCGCCTCAATGACAAACTCCTATTTCAAATTAGATAAAGCCGGAATAAAAGTTGTAAATCATTGCATGCTTCAACTCTTTAAATGTAGATTCAACTACCATATTTTATACAAAATATTTTTTCAACAAGTCAATAAGAGGTTTAGTTTGTCTTATCATAATTTTACATAAATCGCTTGTAATAACCGATCAATCCCAAGAATCTCATAATTGCTTCGATTCTTAGATGTTGACCACTACTATACAATAATAATTTTCTTGGAATCAGTTTGAACTCCTTTTTCCGAAACATAGTGTCCTAATTCCTAAATACTCTACCTTTAAAGTGCTAAAGGTGTATTAGATTTCTTAGCAAACAATGTGTTTTGCCTTAGTAAAGTCAACAAGTTTTTTAAATGTTGTAAATGTTCTACTACGGTTTTATCGAAAATAAGTATATCATTCTAAAAATACTAAGATGGATTTTTTGAAAAAAGATCTAAAAATATCATTCATTAAATATTGAAAATCTGTTATGAGCATTTGTTAATCCAAATGGCATTACCAAATACTCATAATGATCATTGTGTGTATGAAAAATAATTTTTGAAATATCATAAATGTTAATCCTTATTTAATGATAACCAACATGCAAATGAAATTTAGATAAAAAAAAAAAAAAGAATCATACAATTCATTTAGAAGTTCTTTAATGATCGGAATAGGAAATTAATTCTTGATAGTTATTTGATTAAGTCTCTTACGATCCACACATATTCTTCAACTATTATCTTTTTTCTTAACCTACACCACTAGAGAAGAGAAAGAACTTGTGCAAGAATGTATGATTCTATTTTCCAACATCTATTGAGCTCGTAACTTAATCTCGTCCTTTTGAATAGGAGGATACCTACATAGTTTCATACTAATAGGTTCTAGCCCTTCCCTCAAGGTAATTTTATAGTCATGAGTTTTATGGGAGGCAAGCCTTTCGATTCTTTAAAATCATTCACAAATCTTTATAAAATCATCTCTATCTCATGAGGAATGTTATATTCCAATTATGTGGTATATATTGATATTCCTATTTCTTTTATATCTAATATATGATTCAATTATAACCAGTTTAGATGTTTTTATTTGCACATAATTTTATCAAAATCTCTTTGTTTCTTATTTTTAATCCCTTTCACACAAGTACCCCATAACATGAACAATTTCTCTTTTCTTAAAAAACTTCATCCACATATTTTTGAAGTTCTAAATAATGTCTCCTAATGCATATAGCCATGCAATACCTAAAATCATCTCATACATCCCTAATTACATTATAAGAATTGTAGTATTAAAAAATTTTCCTTACAGCATCCATTTAAAATTATTAAAGATGTAGTCACATCAAATTTCACCTCCATCAACCATTTTCACGATTACAAGTTAGATTTTAATCAAGTCACAACCATATTTTTTTACATATTTCAAATCCATAAAATTATGAGTTCTTCCTATATCAATAAATTTTTTTATCCTTTTCCCTTTAAATTCTCCTACAACCTTCATTGTTTGATATTTTCCCCCTAAAGATTGTATACATAGAGGTCCGGTACACTTTTCTACGTAAGTTTTCCATACCCTCAATATATTCCTTATTACTCTCTTCCTTATTTATTTCTCCTTCATGTTCATCTATTCCACTTTCCTTTACCTCCAACATAAACACCTACCTTCCCTTATATTTATGTCTAGGAAAGTACATGTTATTATAGTAATAACACTCTCCTTTTAATCTCTCTTCATCTATTTTTTTTTCCTAAACGATCTTCTAGTTTTGAATATAAAATTCCCACTTTATAACTAAGGTGGTAGAGTTAGTAAACCCTTTGAATTATGGTTTAAAATTTGGTGAAAATTCATTTGAGCTTACTAGTTTGGAAAATTTGAGGTTTTGGTAATACCGATAGTATTAGGTCTTTACATATTCGTGGAGAAGTTAGGACTAGGCCTTTAAGAAAACAATAAGGATGTTTTGAGGTTGAATTTATTCTGGTAGTGTTAAATGTTTGGGTTGCATTCTTGTAATTTAGGTAGAGCTATTACCTCTTTCAAGGTTTTAGGCCTCATGATCCTCATTAGTACTTATAATTCATCCTTGAGATCTGCTCATAAAATAGCTAACAATATAATCCTCATGTAATGTTATCTTGTTTACTATTGAAATGATTTTTTTAAAAAAAGATATTGTACATCTTTAGTATGTCTTAATATCATTAACTCGTCATAGGATCACTAATTTCTATGGCTCCAAAACGAATGCTAACGAGCATCAATATAATCAATCCAAGTTTAGAATGACATTAGCTTTATACATCTTAACACATATCCGATACCCTTCTCTCTCCTTGTAAGTGTATAGTAGCTGGGTTTACTTTAGATTCATCAAGTATTCTATATATAAAGAAAAATTTCTCACATCTAAAAATCTATCATTCAAAATCTTTCCTTTTGAACTTAAAAATTCCACTACGAACATTTTAGTATTATATTGATACTTAAAATTACTCATTCTATAACCATTTATCATATGATACTCATATTCGGCCTTCTAAAACTCTCCATATCTAGGTTTCTAATTGCTACGACATTATCACCATTACCGTGATTATTGACCATTTCATCAATTACTAGACTCTCGAGTCCTTTCACATTTTCTTTCAATTCAACAATATCATTATCATATTTTTCAAACACATTATCGCATCTATCAAAATGTTCGGTGATTACCTTAGATTTATGAGCAATGGATCCTTTCATTTTCTTTAAGTTTGCACTTCCTTTTTTCCATTATTGTTAATTTCTCCTTAAATCCTCTATAGGTACTAAGATTATTGCTCTATTACCAATCGATGTAATTTTCCAATTCTACAACGGAGAACTTAAGACAAATTGCACATTCTACTAATAGATATAAATGAAAACTTTATGCAATAATTGAATCAACAATACAAAACCACAATGCACAAGTATAAGAAAATAGAAAAGAAGAAGAAGAAATCACGTAGAACTCAAGAGAGAAATTATAAAGAGAAGATACTCGGTTGCCAAGAAAATTCAAAATACAACTCTAAGCTTCTCTCTTCCCTCATTAATATGCTAGTTGTTAGACTTAAGTCTAACAACAATCTAACTAAAACAACCATGTTATCATTTTAACGGTCCACGAAACATGTTTCACGACCTTTCTCCTCTCATCCTATGTGTCATCCATATGTTTTAATGATTGACCCACATTTGCCATATAACTTCTCTACCAGTTCCCTCTTGCATTGTAACCTACAATCCAAAACCCATTTTCTTCCCAACTTGTATCAATTTGATTCTATTAGAAGATTTATTTATATCTATTCTTTTTATTATTATTATTGTGATGCTTTGCCAACGGTTTTGTAAAAGAGTTTTAAATATATAATTATTTATTTAAAAAGAAGCTATTGTTTTTTTTAATAATGATTTATTTAAGGGATTTTATTTGTTTTTAGTTGGTGAGAGTCTTAAGTTCAAACCTCATGAATAACAATGCCTTTCTTTGTGGAATTTTTTTTTTTTTTTTTGGCAATCTATTGTTATTTCTAATTTTGGAAAATTAACTCTTTAAGAAGATAGGAGAATTGCTCATATGGTATTCTTGTATTTTTTTTTTTTTATCAAACTTATACATCTTAGAATTTTATATTAGTATTTTAAGTAGCATCTAAATTGTCAATTTATTTTTCCTAATATGTTTTTTGTACTTTTTTTTTATATCTAATTCTCTTTATCAATGAAATCTCAAATCTTGCTATTGTTTAAGAAAATGCAATCAATAACATAAAATAACATCATCTATGAAGTTGACTAATGTACCAAATGATTATGGAAATAAGGATCAAAGGAAGAATTAGAGCCAAAAAGAGTTAAGGACTAATAAGGTATAAAAATAAAGTACGAGGACCATATAATATCATTAAACGAGACCCGAGTCTTTGATTTCAGTTTTGGTTGTCGAGATTTGAGAGTTGACCGGTAAGGGCTTATTAGTTGCTTAAAAATGTGTTTAGTTCTCCGGTCCACTTGTTGTAGGCCTACACCATAATCAAAATTTTAGCTGAGTAGAAAATGAACTACGTTATCAAAGCCCATCATTCACCAATTTCCTCAATATTCTTAACAAAATTTAACCAAAGCTGAACTAATTGAACCAATTTACTAAAATTTAATGTACTGAGTTGGTTTTGAATTAAGCTAATAACAGTCATTATATAACAATTTAAAAAAATTGTGTTATCATTATTTTATTATTACAGTATGTTGTAATTTTTCATGATGATTATAATTATTTTTTCAATCGTTGATTATTTAAAACTACGAACTTACTGGCCTTTTTAGGCCTTGTGCTTGCATGTTATGGAACTTGTCCCTTTTTCAATAACAAAGTGCAGCTTATAAACTTACAGCAGGTGAGCACATTTTCTGGTGATCAAGCTATGATATTTCTTGGCAAGTTAGTTGAAGAAAACAGTGCCACTTTCTCTTAGTTTCTTCTTGGACATCGCCCTCCACCACATTAGTTTTCCTCCAGTCGAGAAAGTCTTGTGTTTCAACTGAGACATCATGCAACACATTCCATATTGTTCAAGCCAACACCCCCCCCCCCCTCTGTTTGATCAATTTGTGAGTTGAAATTAACAAATGTTCTAGTACTATACATCAATGTCATTACTACATACATAATTTCTACACATTGGGCAAGACCCATTTCTGGTCAGCCATTTATCTAGGCAGTCCAAATGAAAGTGGTGTCCACAATAAGGAAGTTTTCTCATTGAATCTCCACCCTTGAAATCCTGAAAATAATTTAAAAAAATTGTTAAAAGCAGGATTACAACTATTTCCTTACAGAGCCAGAGTATTAATTACCCTAAGACACTAGTTCAGTACCTGTAAGCAAATGGAACAACAAAATTCAGGACAGCTTTGTTCAACAATGTTGTTATCAGATTGGAATGTAAAGTCAGGAAGTTTTTGGATACAGTCCTTGGACAAGCCTCTAACTCCACTTGTGTCAAAAATGTCCGAAATTTCTCTGTCAGTAGTTTCCATGGCAGTAACCTGAGAAATTTATAAGTCTGATAAGTCCCACATAATTATAAATTCAATAATTTATTCTAATAATTGTTGTTTTACAAATTCAACAGATTTACTTACTTGCCACTGATAGGCTTTTAGCACTGCAGGACTTACCCATTCCATGAATACCTTCCCATCCAACAAGCTGTACAGTAGAGCAACCTGTCAAAAAGAACTATCAATTTTTTACAAACAAAAGTCACCTTTTCTTTGGATTCTATATATATATATATATATATATGGATAATTACCTTGGACAATGTTTCACCGTTAGCCATGGATTCCAGCAATTGAAAAGCAGTGATGGCACCTGCAACAGCACCTACTCCAGACCCACGAAGAAACCCAGTTTCTGTTGTCTGACCCTTCATGGCTCCAATGACTGATCCCACTAGAGCACCTCCTATAAAACCAAGGCCAAAATTTTAAAAATCAACAAAAAGGTTAAGGAAGAGCTAGCATCCCAATTAATGTTGATGTTTTCCTACTTAAATCATTAATTTGATCGATTAAGCATATTACTTAAAGTGTGCATTACGTATATATAATTGTATAATCGCTGTCACTTTCTAATCTCATTGGAAGTTTCATTATGTAGCAAGTGGAAGTCTAGCTAGCTCATGTGGATTGGAGAGAAGAGTGGAGTCAACAGCTAGAAGTGCATTTATGGATGCCCATCCCTGCATGGGATGGACTGATGATTTTGGGGACCTAGCATGCATGGAAAAGAGACACACATCTTTGAAGGTGAAAATAAAACTCTATCTCAACACTGATACACGTGAAGGCTGAAGCTATGATCTCTAACAGGACACAGCGAAAAAGTTGCCAGAAGGAACCCCAAAAGGGCTGAAATGCTTTGTTTTTAAGGGAGAAAAAAGAAGTTAAAATAGTTGCCTTAGAAGTATAAAAATTTACAAGTAATTGGATCAGAAAAGGAAGATAGTATAAAAAGAAGGCATATACCTAGTGCAAAAATGCAAGTAGATGCAGCAAAGACAGATTTCTTCAGAACTCCAATGAAAAGTCCAGTTCCAAAATCCTCCAGTTTTGCTGTAAAACCCCACAAAGAAACAGCCTCTTTACACCTGAATGAAGCTTTTATTATGCCAGAAAACCACCTTTTCATCATTGGAAGAATGGAATTTTGTTAGAGTGTGAAAGTCTTAATTTTGCTGGTGAGAGGGAAAAGCAGGAGGAGGGTATTTTGCAGCTGTCAAAGGCGTGAATCCACACACAAGCATTTATAGGAGGGTACAGAATCGAGCATTTATGATGCACATATGTACATGCATCAATTGGGAAAACAAGAGTTATGCATGACAGCTTCTCCTGCATGCAAATTGATGAAAAAATAATGAATATAGAAAAAGGCAGTAGCAATTTAGGCATTTCCTTCTATTTTCAATAAGTTAACATGGCAACTTTTTCTTTTTCCTAAAATAGATAATGCTATCCTAGTTAAAAAGGACAACTTTTGAAATCCAATTAAACTTATTTTAAATTAATTTATTATTCTTTATACGTTTCAAAAATAATTTTTATTTAAGAATTGTATTTGAATAGTTTTTTTTTTAATAAACTTTAATTAAAGTATTTTAAATAAATACATCGATTAAACAAATATTTTAAAAAATATATAAATAGAAATGTGAAAGATATTTTTGAACAAAAAGGAGTAAATGACAACTTGTGTGCTTTTATTTCTGCTGTCAATTTTCTTGTCCTAGTCCAATTGTGGATTAGAATGGTTTGGATTGCCATTGGCTTGGGTCATAAAATAACATTTCTTGAGTTATCCCAGGAATTATGAGCTATCTCCTCTTCTGCTAGTTGGGGTAAGAGAGTCAGGAGGGGCAGCAAGAGAAAGATGAGAGTGAGATCATGTATGGACCAATGTGAGAGGAAAAAAAAGAAAACAGAAAAACCCTTGGATTAGATTTCCATTGAACTGGGATATAGTCATGTCTAAATTTAGGAACTGGAAAAAAATTATAATAATAAAAAGAGTTTTTACTCTTCATATTAGTTTTGTCCGTAACATTTTCTGATAAGAAGACTGCCAAAATAAAATTAAAATTTAGTATGTTATTCATAATTTTGAACTAAGAAATAAATATATTTTGGTTAGCTGAAGTTGACGTCCCCCTGAGGTCAGTGAGGAACAAGGACCGGTGATGTCTACCTAAAATCAATGAATAACATAGATTAAGTGATACGTAATAGTTTCGGATCCTTAAAGTATTTTAAGTTTAAAAGTTCATATATTCTATAGAATATATAATACAAACATAACTATCCAATAAACTGTCTGTATATTCAAAAATTCGATCGTTTATTTAAAAAATTAGAATTCTTTTTTATCAAACAAATCCTATTGAGTCACGTAATAGTGCACAAAATTTACAATTAAAAATTTAGTCCTTGAATAAACTATATGAAAACCCCTGTTACTGATGTACGTTAAATGAGTCGAATACATGAATTTGATAGGTTGATTGATGCAATAGAGATAACAAGAAAAATCTCCATGGATTCTTTGCAGCAAAAAAACATGGCAATCATTTAATGAAAAATATTGAATGATATCCTTATTGCTTAGGGTACTCGAACATTCTCGTGTATATGCTCAATTTTTTCATAGAATTTAATTCGTACATATATGTAATTAAACCTGAGAATGAATCTTGTTTAACATAAGATTTTGGACATTAGTATTCTTACAAGATTAATATTCATATGGTTTTATAAATACACTAAGGAGATTGACTTGATGGATTCAAAGTAGAATCCGCTAAAAAAATACATAATTTCTTAAAATTAAATATGTTCATTTAAATTTAGATGATAGCACAATCCTAATAGTCAAAAATCATTTTCTTTTTACAATAAATATCAAACTCACAACAATTGTGAGTGAGGGATACTAACTTTTTAATTCTCAACAAAACCTTTGAATTTTCTCTATAAAAACTTTCTGATTGGGATACCAAACACCATCTAAAACTCTATTTGTTTGAATTTTGATTATTTATCTGTCTGCTGCTCGATTTGTTTGTGCTTCAATAATACTTTCTACTCTTCTTTTCACCCCTTTTACTACTTACATCAGTTTTACTTTATTGATTAACCATGGCTTTTGTAAATCATAATATTAGTTTTCTATATTCTGATTAATCTATCCACCAGTCTTTGACCAGTTCTCGAACACAAGTAGATAATGCTACCCAGGCAGGGTTAAAAAGGACAACTTTTGAATTCATTTATTAAAAATGATGTACTCCTACTATTCAATTTGGAACGACAACTTGTGTGCCTTTATTTTCTGATGTCAATTTTCTTATCCTGGTCCAATGGTGGAGGAGTATGGTTTGGATTGCCATTGGCTTATGTCAGATAATAACATCTCTTGAGTTGTCCCAGAAATTATGAGCTATCCCTTCTTCTGCCAGTTGGGGGAAGAAAGAGTTAGGAGGGGTAGCAAGAGAAAAGTGAGAGTGAGATCATGCATGGACCAACGTGAAAAAGAATTAAAAGATCGAAAAAGAAACCCTTGGATTAGATTTCAATTGAACAGATTATAATCAAGTCTCAATTTAAGAACAAGAAAAAAAAAAGAGTTTCTCATTTTACTCCCATTCATGTTATTTTTGTTCTGTAACATGTTCTGACAAGAAATGTAGAATATATATTTTGGTTTGCTGAAGTTGATATCTACCTAAGATCGCTGAGGAGCCTGGACTGTTGATGTCTACCTAAAATCAGTGAGGAACATGGACTAAGTCATACATAGCAGAATCATTAGTGCACATCTCACACAAAAAAGTTCAGTCCCTCATAAAAATGAATAAACTAAACGAAAACCCTGTTACTGATGGAGGTTAAATGAATCAAATGCAATGATTTGATAGGTTGATTGATGCAGGAGAGGCAACAAGCAAAATCTCCATGGATTCTATGTAGAAAAAAAACCAGTCATTTAATGAAAAATATTGAATGATATCTTTATTAATTAGGCTGTTGTGAAATACAGGCGACTAGATGAATCTGGAAGCACCCTAATGTCAAGAAAAATAATGCATTGGAGTTTTGCAAAGATCCTTGGATTTAACCTGTCTCGAGGTGCTAGATACATCTAGATGATAACATTCAATACATAATTAACGTTACTACTGGCTAATGTTTTCCTTTTTCATTTTTTTTCACAAATAAAAGGATGAATTCGAATTCTCTGTACACAGATACCAATCGAATTACAAGCTAGAAATGCTTCACTGAATTTACTGCTCATGTATAATGCACAGTAGCCCAAGATAGAAGTGTTTCCCTTGTTAAGACTGCTATTTCCCTTGCAAGATAATAAAGGCCAGTTTGGCTTTGTCAGAGCTGAAACAAAGCAAGGGGCGGCAATAGCGGACAGAAAGAAGGAAGGAAATGTAAAAAACCAGGTGCTACCTGATAGTGGTTGGTGCTTCTGTGGGCTGGAAACTGGAAACTACTGGATATTTTGAGACAATAAGATTTGGAAAGTATGGAGATTGTGTTGAAAATGGAGAGGGGGCCAAGTGGTCCTTTAATTGCATTAATGAGCAGCAAACTATGGCTGGCTAGATTACTTGCTTGGTATATGTATTGGCAGGTAGGTTTCTCTGACCCACACACACACTTCCTAGCCTCTTCTGTGCTTATCCAAGAAAAACCATGGACTTCTTTTTTGAGATTCAATACAACAGAAATTGAATCTAATTTTGCTTTAACATTTGAAATTTTTGTGTTCAATTTTAATGCTTTAATTTGTTCACCGAGATAAGATGACATTTTCTTGTACAGGCAGTTTGTGCCTTGTGGAAACAAGATAGATATATCTTCCAGCTTGAAAAGACTAACTTCTTTGTGTGTTCTTTATTCTTTTTAAAAGACTTTGCTTTCCTCTTTATCATTTTGTTATTAAGGGAATGAAAAACTCAATTGTATACTTAGTGTATATTTAAATAACTACTGTTACGTTATGTAATGAATCTTAGACAATGGTTTCGGAGCATTTTATTATTATTATTATTATTCGATATTATATAACGATCATGACTATTATTTTATTACTGCAGTGAGTTGCGATCTACAATCATAACCACGCTTGTGATTTAAAACTATAATACTTAGTGCATGGTGGAGATTTGAACCTGGGCACCATAAATGTTAGGACTTAGTCTTAGTCTTGAACTACTGGAGCAATACCTAATTGGGTGAATGAAAACAAACCTAAAACATCACTAATTGACATTTTGCTTGTTGAGCTTAATATTTGAGATGAGAGCACATTTGATTTGGGGCTGGGATTCCTCATCATGCAAGAAAGGCTCCTATCCTTCTCCATGCATCGCATTTGACTTGATTTAGATGGCTGTCATTAAAATTTCAACTGCAATTGGTAATGCAGAAAAAGTACAATCACATAAGGTATTTTTAATGTCATACCAAATAGTAGAGATCAATCACACCAAAGAATGTCCTTATTAATGAAGAGAATTAATAATGGGAAACTAATAGGGATGGCAAGACTTGAAGCCCAGAAAAGACCTAATTAAACCGTGTAAGAACATTGACAGCTTACTGCTGATCTAAAAGCATATATTTCTTTGATTACATCAACTCAATATTTGTTTAACCAATTAATATAGAAAACAGAAATTCTACACATGATTTTAGATATAAAATCCATTTGAGAAAGTTATATTGTCTATGAATAAAGTGAGAATGGGAAATGATTAAGTGACAAGTTTGAACATTTTCAACTTTGTATAAACAGGAAAAATCTTCAAATTTTACTTAGACTAGTAGGCCATTTTCCCAACTTTATTAGCAAGTTTCTTGGAGGACTGTACAAGTTGCAGACAGCAGCATCAAAGCATTAAACCAACTAGGGAAATAAGTTTTCCACATAAACAGAGAAGCAGGAGATGAATGAGACAAATACCAAAAGATGCTACTTTAAAAACTTTGGTTTGGCCTGAAGCAAGTGTTTTAACCTTTAATCTTATACCAATTGAGTGGATAACCTTTTCTGATAGAGATTAATATTCCAATATCCAGCTAAGGAATTAGAAGTATTAGAACAAACAAATGAGAGAATATACACATTGTCAGGAATTGCATCCAAGTAATGAGCCCACAGGACCAACACAAGAATGGCAGAAGAAGATCTTCACACTGCAAGTAGTCTCTGTAGGATAAAACAAATTCCTAACCTTGCATTCAATCTGCAAAATTTTGAGCTTCTGTCACTTTAACCAACCATTTTAGTGGAAGCCACATGCATAATTTTTCAAATGAGCAAACAAAGAGAAAGAATTGCATTTCTAACCTTAGCAGGAAGTAGCTTCATCTAAGGGGATTCTGATGTCGGAGATTCTGATGGAGAATTCACTGCTGCCTCCCTAGCATCAATCATCATTGCAATGACCTCTCTCATTGTTGGCCTATTAAGTGGAGATGTGCTGGTGCAGAACAATGCAATCTTGAGAACTAAAGACATCTCCTCTATTGTGCTTTTCTGACTCAAGTCTAACCTGCTATCAAATATCTCAGGTGTTGGCACTGAATCATGAATTGATCTTCTAACCCAAGTGACCAGGTCCCCTCCTTGCTCTAGACGTTGAACAGGCGGTTTCCCCGTAATTAGTTCCAATAGAACCACTCCAAAGCTATAGATGTCACATTTCTCAGTCACTTTCAATGTGTAAGCATATTCTGCACATGAAAATCAGTACAAACGTGATGCATTAGAATAATTAAGTACAATTAAGATTAACAAGTGTTAGGTTCCTTTTTTTCTGAATGATGGGCGTACCTGGGGCAATGTAACCATATGAACCTGCAACAGCAGACATGGATTTTGAGTAGGGAAAATCAATCAACTTTGCCAAGCCGAAGTCTCCAACATGAGCCTGAAGTACTTCATCCAACAAAATGTTGTTCGACTTTATATCGCGGTGGATGATCCCAGGCTTGCAATCATAATGGAGATAGCACAAACCCTCTGCTGCTCCAAGACCAATTTTATATCTAGCATTCCAGTCTAGTGAACATGTTTGGACACTGCCGTGAAGTTGCTCTCCGAGGCTCCCATTTGGCATGTATTCATATAGGAGAATGCTGTAGTCTTGATGGTAGCAGAAGCCGTAGAGCTTAACAATATTACGGTGTCTAATGTTTCCGAGGGTCAATATCTCAGCACGGAAGCTGTTGTCATTACTAGCTCCTTCACCGCGGGACTTTAGCTTTTTAACAGCAATTATCTCACCATCAGCCATAACAGCCTTGTACACAGTGCCACAGGCTCCCCTTCCGATAACTGCATCTTCAGAAAAATTTCCAGTAGCCACCAGAAGGTCATTATATGAGAACCCTTCTTTAGGAAAATAATAATAGTCTACCACATCAGACCTTGTTGCATCTTCAAGTGAAACAAAAGCAGGTTGACGACGCATCATAGCCCAGCAAATTCCCGCTATGAAAAACAGAGAAACTAAACCAATAGCTCCAGAAATAATTGTCACTAATTTCGCTCTGGATGAGCTCTCCTTGATCCAGTTTTTGTTGGGAGTAGGAGATGGGATCACAGGATGACAATGGTACGAGCCTGATTTGCACAAGCCGTTGTTGCCAGCAAAATTTGTCGAGTCCATTCTTTGAAATGCAGGAGTACTTGGCACTGCTCCTACCAGATTATTGTTAGAAAGATTGCAGACTAGAAGGCTCAGCAGCTCACCGATTGATGCAGGAATCTCACCAACGAGTTGGTTGTCGTTCAAGTAGAGATATTCTAACATCTGCAATTTCCCTAAATCACTGGGAATTGTACCAGAAAGGCAATTGTGGCTAATGTTCAGAGCAATCTGGAGAGCAGTAAGTTGACCAAGCTCGACAGGTATGCCACCAGAAAGAAGATTTCCTCCCATTTGCAGCTCTGTAAGTCTGACTAGACTGCCTAAGGTACTTGGAATTTCTCCAGTCAATCTGTTGTCTGAAAGCTTCAGGAGTTCCAGGTTCACTAGCTTGCCAATATCTTCTGGGAGAGAGCCTCTGAATTGGTTCCGACTAAGATCAAGCCTCTGAAGCCCTATGCAATTTCCCAAGTCACGAGGAATATCTCCTGAGAGCCAATTGGATGAAATGTTGAATGCAACAAGATGCGTCAGGTTTCCTATCTCTGGAGGAATTTTCCCGAAAAAATAGTTATTTGACAAGAGCAACCTTTCCAAATTCCTGAGCTTGCCTACACCAGGGGGTATGGACCCGGAGAATCGGTTTTGATAAATTTCAAGAGAAGAAAGATTCTGAAGTTGATATAATTCAACAGGTAGACTTCCAGTAAGCAGGTTACCCCCTAGCATTAGTTGTTTAAGAGACTTGCAAGTTTTCAGACCAAAAGGAATGTTTCCAAACAGCCTATTTGATCCGAGGCTCAAAAACATCAGTTTCTGATACTTGCAAAGATATGGAGGTATGCTACCAACAAGATTGTTGACAGATAAGTCAAGGACAGAGAGGTTACTATTATACCCAATGAGGAAAGGAATATGACCCTCGAGATGATTGTAGAAAAGCTGCAATTCCTCTAGATATGTTAGGTTTTGAAACTCTAGAGGAATTGTACCTGTCAGATTATTTATAGACAGGTCAAAGTTTTGCAGCTGTGTTAACTCTCCAAGCTCCCTGGGAATACTTCCCTGAAGGACATTCTCAAAAAGGTGAAGCAAGCGGAGATTAGGAATCCACCCCAACTCTCTTGGAATGGTCCCACTTAAGCTATTCTCAGAAAGATCTATCTCAACAGCACCACTGCAATTTCCTAGTTCTTGAGGAATTGTTCCATTCAACAAGTTGGTATATATGTAAAGTTTCTTTAGCTGGGATAACTTGCCTAGTTCTTTTGGAAGAAACCCACTAAAGGAATTTTGATGCAATGCAAGCACCTCTAGGTTACTGATATTTCCTATCTCAGGAGGAATCTCCCCAGATAAAAGGTTTTGCCAAAGGATCAAACTGGTAAGATTTTGAAGTTTCTGAAGCTCCTTTGGAAGAGAACCTTGGAAGCTATTCTGTGCCAACCCAAGTATCTCTAAGCTCTCACATTCGCTAATTTCGGGCGGTATTGGACCTGTGAAGGAGTTCACACCTGCCCTGATGACCCTAAGATGTTTTAACCCACGGATTGATGCAGGAATTGTGCCTGTGAGATTATTGCTATACATGACAAGCTCTTCTAGTGACGTCAAATTTCCTATCTCCCTAGAGATTTCTCCGAATATGTAGTTCTCGCAGTAATAAAGCAGTCTGAGAGTGTTTAGTGAGTACAGATGAGTAGGAAATTCTCCATGAAACCTATTGGTACAAAGGTCAAGAATCTCTAGACTGCGACACTCACCAAGATATTGAGGAATGGGACCAGAAAAGAAGTTGGAGGAGATATTGAACTCAACTAAACCAGGGATACTACATATACTTGCAGTGGACAAACTACCAGACAAATTAAGGCCATGAAGATTCAAAGAAGTTACCTTAAGATTCGTAGAACAACTTACTCCCTTCCAGTTGCAAGGAGTTGAGTCCAATGAATTCCAGCTTTTAAGATTGTTGTCAGGATCAATGACTGACTTTCTAAACTCCAAAAGAAGAACAGCCTCTTCATTTAATGATCTTACGAATACAAAATGGAAACAAAGCATAAAAGAAATCAAGCAAAAGAGCTTGTCAGGAACGGGAGAATTCAACTGGCTTGCCATCATCATTTAGAAAATGAAGAAGCAAATTTAGAGGGTGGTGCAAGAATGTCACAAGAAAGCAGAGAGCAGGATTTTAAAATCTCCTCCTCCCTAACACAACAACTTTCAATGGCAAGCCTGACTAAGATTCAATCAATAATGAAATATCGAGCCTAGGATGCATGGTTTAGGCACATGTCTCGGGTTCGAATTCGGCGAATAGCCAATACACTCACCCGGAATATACCAGTAAGGAATCCCTGACATAAAAGAAAAAAGAAAATACATACAGAGAACTTTAAAAGGAGGACTCAGACAATCTGAACTTGAAAACTCTAAAAGGACTGTTGTTTGGTATTGGTTCCAAAACTGATGTCTAAGGCAGATAGAACACAGAACATAAATAAGCCCATGAAGCATTCAATAAGCCCATAGACGAGGAACAGAAGAGAAACCAAGACAGAGACCTACCTACAACCTTTACGGATAGCATATGAGAGGTAGATAATGAACAGAGAAAGAGAAAGATTGATAAGGGTAAGAAAGTGGAGAGAGACCATGAGAGTCACGATGTAAAAGTTCTTTTCGTTTTTTTGGGAGTCAACGCCTACGCTTTACATCCTAAGTGCTTCTACTACTTGCTGTTCTTCTTCTTCTTCCAAGCTTACGACTATGATCAGTCCACCATTTTCAATTTTGTTTAACTTCCTATCGTCAATAATGTTTCTTGATTGATTGATTAGAAATTTAGAATGGAATGATGGGACCTGTGGTTGCTTGAAAGTTTAAAAGGGTGTGAAAAACGATAGAGATGAGACGTGGAAATTCTCTGATCATCAATCGATAAGATTCTTTCTTCTTCGCCATTGTTTCTTGACCTGCCAATATGGAATTTTTAGCAATTCTCCTCGAGTAATGATTTGCTTTAAGACCGTGATCGATGAGTGTGCATTCCCTTCTTGGTTAGTGGGTTGGCAGGAATCTACCTGTCTCTTCTGCCGACGCACAGTAGAGATGATCATGACTTTACAACGTTCTATTATTAAGGAAACACCTATGCTGATCAAGATAAATGTTAGGAATAGTTAGGACCATCTAATCACCATGTTTGACCAACATCAACGGCTTCTTTAAAATTATACTAGGATTCGATTAGCACGCGCAAACTGTTGTAGAAATACATTTTATTATCGAATAAAAAAAATGGTATGTTTTGATTGTATACAGTGTTCGAAACTTTGATTTTTATAAATGATTTGATGAGTCCAGGCATGATATTACTTGAACAAACATAAGATTAGTCCACTCCAGCAACATTAATAGAAAGGCCAAAAAGAATGAGATTCCAAACTAAATTTGTTCTTCTTTCTTTTAACTGAACTTCAAGGAATATACATATAGAAAGTGTTGGATGAAAATTCCAAAAGATAAAAAGTTAAGAAGAAACAAAAAAGGTTAAAACAAACTTGCAGCGAAATTTCCAAGATTGTTGAGGACCTGACATGACCTGACTCTGTTTGCAAATTTGGTTGTTTTGTGGCTACCGGTATTGCCCCACTACAAAAACTTGGACTTGCGACTCTTATTGGCATGGAAAACAATTGCTGTGTTCGGCCCTAACCCAGAACTGGAGCCTAGAAGTGGAAATTAAGAAAACAATTGGGCCAAACCACAATTCGTCAGTTTTTGCTAGTTTTGGGCCACGATTCAGAAATTTGAAATGTCTGGTTTTTACAAGACCAGCACTCTTATCCTTGACTGTTCCTAGCTGTTACCTGATAGCAAATAATTGCTCAAGATAAACCACTAGAAGGATCAAGGAATTCTTGGAAATTCTGCTGCAAGAATTTGAATATTTGACACTGTAATATATAGTCCTGAAAATCAACTAGTTTTGGTAGTACCTCATCTCTTGAATTGCCAAACATTCAAGAGAGTTCATTTTTTGTACCCTTAAATTTTTTTGGCATTAATTTTACCCTTAAATTTTTAAAAATTCTCAATTAACAGCTTCTGTCTATTTTCAAAACTTTTCATCCATATTTTCATCTAAATTGTATCCCTTCTTCTATAAGAAATGACATTATTTTATAAGGAATTTAATGTTTTTCTTTAAGTGATTCTAATAAAAGTTCAAATTGAGAAATCAAAATAGTTTTGGTGTAAAAATTGATACTAATCTAATAATTTTGGTGGTATATTTGATGTTTGCTTTAAAATCTTTCTAACAGGGACAATCCATGGGCTTTGGGCCTAAACTTTTTAGCAAAAAACCAAACCTAGTACTAAGAGACTTTTTCTTAATTCAACCTAAGGTTATATGCTTTGAGTTAATATGTGTTTCTTTTTCTTGGTGGCAAACTTTTTCAAAACTAATGATTAAACGTAGTTTTTATTTTTTATTTAAAAAAAAAAAAAAAAACTTAAATTCAAGAAAGACTAAATGGCTTTGATAGTACCCTGTAATATCGATCAAATAGAAACTGATAAAAAAACTTTAATTTTTTTTAATTTGAATATCAAAACTATTTTTTAGTTTGTAATCGAGTTTAGCGATCCCGTTGATCAACATCTAAGCAAATTTTTTGCACATGATGGTAATATGGACCAATAGATAAAAGATACGACGACCCTCCAACTAGCTAGAATAAAATTACAAATTATCTCCACCCCTAAATTAAAATAAAATTGAGACTTAAAAACAAATTACACTCATCTTCTCAAACCCTTCCGGCACGATCATTCATATCCTCATAACCACCATCTTCTCAAACCTAGGGGTGTTCACTATTCGGTTAAAACCGAAATACCGAACCAAATTAACAATTTCGATTCGGTTTTTTTTAAAAAAATTAAAAATTAAAAATCAAAAACCGAAGTTATTTCGGTTCGGTTCGGTTTTTTTTTTTCAAATTAGGTTTCCACCGAAAACCAAATTAGTTTTTTTATTTTTAACACATACCCAAACTCTTTTTTTCAAAAAAAAAAAATCAAGGAGGCACCTATGGGTTTAACTAAAAGAACAATAGCTTTGATGATTTTTTTTCTACTTAAAATAGAAATATTTTTCATTAATTATTTATTGAAATAAAAAATAATTGATTATATTATATTGACTCACAAAAAAATAAAAATAAAAGACTATGATAAAGAAATTCTTTATAAAAACACAAATTTATGTATGGGTGAATCCTAAAACCTCATGAAAAAAATTGTCTCCTTGTATTAAAATTGGCACAAACATAAATTAAAAATTGGATTTTTCATATTATATATTCAACAATAAAATATGCACAAAATAAATAGATTCAAAAAAAGAATATGAAAAATTAATAAAAAAACCAATTATAGCGTGAATGAAAAAAAATGAGAAGCCCAACTAATTTAGTTTATAATATCAATAGAAACATATTTATTATAGAAAAATAATAATAATCATACATAATTTTCTTATAAAATCAAATGTGAAATATGCAATCTTTGATTATGCAAGTTTGATATTTTTTAAAAGCAAAATAATTCGATTTTTAGAAGAAAAAAGCAAAAAATAAAAAATAAAAAATAAAAAAATAAAAAAATAAAAAAAATAAAAAAATTTTGGTTATTAACTAGAAAACCGAACCGAAAAACTAAACATCAATTTGGTTCGATTTCGGTTTTTGTTTTAGCCAATTTGGTTAATCGAAAACAAAAAAAAATACCAAAACCGAACCAAAAAACCAAATGAACACCCCTACTCAAACCCTCCTATCATAGCCATCTCTCTATTCCGATCAAACCTAGCACCACCTACAATCATCTTTCTACTTTGATCAAACCCAACACTAACCACGACTCTCTTCACCTTTCCTCTCCTCCAATCAAGACCCAACACCAACCACATCGATCCCACTCTCCGATCAAACCCAACATAAGCCATAACTCTCTCTATAATTCCTCTCCTCCGATCAAGAACAAACACCAGCCATTATAATCCTTACGACCACCATCTTTTCCAGTCAAATAACATCGACACCTATCAACCATTGCAGCCATCTTGACCATCCCTCTTCTCCAATCAAACCCAACACCAACCACAACTCTCTTAGCCATCCCTCTCCTCTCTCTCCTCTAATTAAGACCTAACACCGACCACTACATTCTAGTCATCATCTTCTCTTGCCAAACAACACCAAAATCCAACACCAATCACTATCAAATGATGCTAAAGCTCTCTGTCCTCCAATAAAAAAAAAAAAAATCCTAACTTTGTCACCCATTTTTTCCCTTGCTTATTTGAGCAAAAATTTTAGATTTGTTAAGGAAAAAAATGATTTTTATTGAAATTAGGTGAGAGATTGGGCAAAGATTTCAAATTTGTTAAGAAAAAAAAATGATCTTTATTGAAATTATATAGGAAATTAGGCAATAGTTTTATATTTGTTAAGAAAGACAAAAAAAAAAAATCTTTATTGAAATTAGGCGGGAGATTGGCCAAAAGTTTTAGGTTTTGCAATTTAAGTTAGGCTTAGGTTTTTTTAATATTTCATCCTCACGTACTCGTCATGTGTGCTCGAATTTTGGTCAACGAGATCGTTCAACTCGATTACAAATCAAAAAATAATAATTTTGATACTCAAATAAAAAAAAAAATTGATAGTACAAGGTATTATCAAACCAATTAGTCTTCAAGAATTTTTATAATATTCTTTGAAGTAATTACAAGAACTTATATAACTTTTACAAATAGGTTTTCAAAGATTAAATAAGGTAAAAAAATTTAAAACTCATTGAATACTAATTATTTTTCTTTATCAATTTATCAAAAAATAATATATATATATATAAATCTCATGATAATTATGTATAATCGCTGATTTTTCTATGCGTGAAAAAAAAAGAACGACTAATTACTAAATAAATTTAAAAAAAATACTTAAAAGAAATAATTACTATTTAATTTTTTTTACATTAGTCCACTAAAGACTAAACATATGAATACAAAGTTTCATAATCCCAACTCATTAATTTACCCAACATATGAATACAAAGTTTCATAATCCCATATTATAAATACGCATTCCATAAATCCAATTTATTTATTTATTTATATCTCTTATTTCTACCAAACAAGTTATTATAAGAAAACCTAAAAGATTTGGAATGATTGCTATTCACCTATTATCCATTCATGTTTATTTTTCATCAATCACATTAATCCTATCATGCATACTATAAATCGCATAATACAAAACCTTGGACTTGCCACTCTTATCGACATGGAAGCAATTGATGTGTTTGGCCCTAACCCAAAACTGGAGCCTAGAAGTGAAATTAAGAAAACAATTGGGCTAAACCACAATTCGTCGACTTTTGCTAGTTTTAGGCCACGATTCGAAATGTAAAATGTCCGGTTTTTACAAGACTAACACTCTTATCCTTAATTATTCATAGCTTACGTTATAGCAAATAATTGCTTGAGACAAACCACTACAAGGATCAAATGAATTCTTGGAAATTACGTTGCAAGAATTTGGATATTTGACACTATAATATGTAGTCCTAAAAATCAACTAGTTTTGGTATTACCTCATCTCTTAAATTGCCAAACATTCAAAGGAGTTCGTTTTTCGTATTAGGTTAACTTCTAAAATATCTCTAACTCTTACCACCAAATATCTTTTGGCATTAATTTTACCCTTAAATTTTTAAAAATTCTCAATTAACGACTTTTGTCTATTTTTAAAACTTGTCATCCATATTTTCATCTAAATTGTATCCTTTTTTCTATAAGAAATGAGATCATTTTATAGGGAATTTCAAGTTTTGTTTTAAGTGATTCTAATAAAAGTTCAAATTGAGAAATAAAAATAGTTTTGGAGTAAAATTGACACTAATCTAATAATTTTGGGGTATATTTGCCGTTTGCCTTAAAATCTTTTTAACGGGGACGATCCATGGGCTTCAAGCCCAAACTTTTTAGCAAAAACCAAACATAGTACTAAGAGACTTTTTCTAAATTCAACCTAAAGCTATATGCTTTGAGCTAATATGTGTTTCTTTTTCTTGATGGCAAACTTTTTCCAAACTAATGACTAAACATAGTTTTTATTAAAAAAAATAAATTCAAGAAAGACTAATTGGCTCGATAATATCATGTACTATCGATCAAATAGAGATTGGTAATCAAACTTTTATTGTCTTAATTTGAGTACCAAAACCAAAAATTCGATTCAATCCCGTTGACTAGCATCTAAGCATGCTTTTTGCACGTGATGGTAATATGGATCAATAGATAAAAGATACGATGATATTTTAACTAGTCTTTTTTATCGACCAACTAGCTAGAGTAAAATTACAAACTATCCCCACCCTTAAATTAAAAAAGAAAAAAAAATTGAGAATCAAAAATAAATTACTCTCATCTTCTCAAACACTTCGATCACAGATCATCTTTATCCTCGTAGCCGCCATCTTCTTAAACCCTCTTGTCATAGCCATCTCTCTATCTCGATCAAACCTAGCACCAACTACAACTATCCCTCTACTCCGATCAAACCCAACACTAACCACAACTCTCTTTGCCATTCCTTTCGTCCAATCAAGACCTATCACCAACCACATTTATCCCTATCTCCGATCAAACCCAACACCGACCATAACTTTCTCTGTCATTCCACTCCTCCGATCAAGAACCAACACCAACCACTATAATCCTTATAGCCACCATCTTATCCAGCCAAACAATATCGAAATCACCGACCATTGTAGTCATCTCGACCATCCCTCTCCTCCGATCAAACCTAACAACAACCACATGCATCCCTGTCCTCCAATTAAACCCAACACCGGTCGCAACTCTCTCGATCATTCCTTTCCTCCGATCAAGACCGAACACCAGTAATGACATTATAGCCACCATCTTCTCTTGCTAAACAACATCAAAATCCAACACCGACCAATGTAAAATGACGCTAAAGCCCTCTCTCATCCAATTAAAAAAAAAATAAAACTAACTTTGTCACCCATTTTTTCCTTTGTCTATTTGGGCAATGATTTTAGATTTGTTAGGAAAAAAATGATTTTCATTGAAATTGAGTAGGAGATTGGGCAAAGATTTCAGATTTGTTAGAGAAAAGAAAAAAATGATCTTTATTGAAATTAAGCGAGAAGATTGGGTAATGATTTTAGATTTGTTAGAAAAAAAAATTATCATTATTGAAATTAGGCAATGGTTTTAGATTTGTTAGGAAAGAAAAAAATAGAAGAAGGAAAATGATCTTTATTAAAATTAGGTAGGAGATTGAGCAAAAGTGTTCGGTTTGGCAAATTAAGTTAGGCTTGGGTTTTTTGGATATTTCATCATCACGTGTGTTCGGATTTCGGTCAACGAGATCGTTTAACTTGATTACAAATTAAAAAATAATTTTGGTACTCAAATAAAAAAATTAAAGTTCAAGTACCGAGTCTTTGTTTAAGTGATTGTATAAGGTATTATTGAACCAATTAGTCTTTGGGAATTTTTATACTATTCGTTAAAGTAACTACAACTACCGATATAACTTTTATCAATAGGTTTTCAAATATTAAATAAGGTAAAATTTTTAAAACTTGTTGAATACTAATTATTTTTCTTTATCAATTTATCAAATAATAATAATAATAATAAAATTTTATATAAATATAAATTTCATGATAATTATGTATAACTCGTTTATTTTTCTATGTGTGAAAGAAACAACTAATTACTAAATATATTTTTTTAAAAAAATCTTAAAAGAAATAATTACTATTCAAAATTTTTTACATTACTTTGAAAATAACTATCAATACTTAAATATTTATATATATTTTTATCAATTGTTTCCGACGATAATATTAAATGGTAAAACATTTAACGTTCATTAATCCTCATGAAGTCATTATTATGACTCTTCATAAAGTTAGAGATTCTTTCCTTATAGTTATAAATCTTCCTTGTAATTTTAGTTGCTTACTAGTTAGATACATGCGCTACATCGTAGTCAAACAATTGTTAAATATGTAGAATTAATGATTCGTATGGTGTAGTGTAAGTAGAAGTTTTATTTATGATGATTAATGTGAATCAAATCTATATATTGAGCAAAATTATTTGATTTATATATATTTATTAAAAAAATATTTAATAATATTAGCATAAAATGTTTTATTTGAATAATTGTAAGGTTCTCTTAAAACATTATCTAACTTATTTTATTTAAAAAACAAATTTTAGAATATGAAAAAATAAAAAATAAATAATTGATATTATGTGTGCGGATATATATTTAATTTCTAACGAAACTAATGATACGCGCGTGTGCGCGTGCGTGTGTGCACACACACACACACACACATATATATCATACTTAATAGATTTAGAGTATATAGAATAAATATAAATTTCATGATAATTATGTTTAACTCGTTGATTTTTATATGTGTGAAAGAAACAACTAATTACTAAATAGATTTTTTTAAAAAAATCTTAAGAGAAATAATTACTATTCAAAACTTTTTACATAACTTTGAAAATAACTATCAATACTTAAATATTTATATATTTTTTTATCAATTGTTTCCGACGATAACATTAAATGGTAAAACATTTAACGTTTATTAATCCTCGTGAATTCATTATTATGACTCTTCATAAAGTTAGAGATTCTTTCCTTATAGTTATAAATCTTCCTTGTAGTTTTAGTTACTTACTAATTAGATACCAGTGCTACTATCGTAGTCAAACAATCGTTAAATATATAGAATTAATGATTCGTATGGTGTAGTGTAAGTAGAAGTTTTATTTACGATGGTTAATGTGAATCGAATCTATATATTGAGCAAAATTATTTGATTTATATATATTTATTAAAAATATATTTAATAATATTAGTATAAAAAATTTTATTTGAATAATTGGAAGGTTCTCTCAAAACATTATCTAACTTATTTTATTTAAAAAATAAATTTTAGGATATGAAAAAATAAAAAATAAAAAATTGATATTATGTGTTCAAATATATATTTAATTTCTAATGAAACTAATGATGCGCGCGCGCACACACACACACACACACGGATATATACATATATATATATATATATATATATATATATATATATCATACTTAATAAATTCGGAGTATATAGAATAAATATAAATTTCAAGATAATTATGTATAATCGTGGATTTTTATATGTGTGAAAGAAACAACTAATTATAAATAGATTTTTTTAAAAAAAAATCTTAAAAGAAATAATTACTATTCAAATTTTTTTACATTACTTTGAAAATAACTATCGGTACTTAAATATTTATATATATATATATATATTTTTATCAATTGTTTCCGACGATAATATTAAAAGGTAAAACATTTAACGTTCATTAATCCTCATGAAGCTATTATTATTACTCTTCATAAAGTTAGAGATTCTTTCCTTATAGTTATAAATCTTCCTTGCGAGTTTTAGTTACTTACTAGTTAGATACCCACGCTACACCGTAGTCAAACAACTCGTTAAATATGTAGAATTAATGATTCATATGATGTAGTGTAAATAGAAGTTTTATTTCGATGATTAATGTGAATCGAATCTATATATTGAGCAAAATTATTTGATTTATATATATTTATTAAAAAAATATTTAATAATATTTGCATAAAAATTTGTATTTGAATAATTGGAAGGTTCTCTCAAAACATTATTTAACTTATTTTATTTAAAAAACAAATTTTAGAATATGAAAAAATAAAAAATAAATAATTGATATTATGTGTGCGGATATATATTTAATTTCTAACGAAACTAATGATAAGCGCGCGCCCACACACACACACACAAATATATATATATATATATATATATATATATATATATATATATATATATATATATATATATATTCGAGTATATAGAAAAATAAATAAAATACAAAAAAAACCACCTAAACTCGTATGAGATATATTGAAGTCAATAGATTAAAATAAAAACTACAACAAAATTGATAATGATAAATTCCGAATATATATACGAAGAACAAAACAAAAAAAAATAAAAAAGAAAAGAAAAAGGCTAGGCCGGCGCCTGGTGGCCTATGCGACCGGGACATCCTATACATATATATGTGTGTGTATGTGTGTATGTGAAGAAAGAAACAAAAAAAAAAAAAAAAAGACAGGTCTTAGGTCTGCTCAACCCAATATATATATAATCTGCAACTTCAGACGAACTAGAGGTTGTTGGAATCTTCGTAAAAAATCGGAGATCAAGTTTCGGATCTCAAGAAATTCAACTTCGACATCATTTTTTTCTCCAAACACCTCTAAATTATCATAATAAAGCCAATAAACACATTTAAAACCTTAAAAATCATTTTAATGTACGAAAAAAATAGATAATCAAATCAATTTTTTTTTTGTTTTTTGGCTTCGATCTATCTCCTTTAATTATTTAATGGCTTAAAACCACCAAGGACAAACTCATCTCACAAAGATAAAAAAAAAAATCTAATGATTTTCTCTAGCCAAAGTGGTTTAAATAAGCTTGATCGACGATCTCTCTCTATCTTCCTCCCTCCCTTCTCTCGACATCAAGGGATCAAAATGGATTAGCAAATAAAGATATGGATTGAAATATTTATTCGAAAATATTAAGGATCGAAGTGTAAAAAGTTATATAATTTTCATCCATCAAAATTTAAAAATTACAAAAAAGCCATCCGCTGCACTGAGTCTAGAAATACAGAAAATGAACAGTGAAAATTTAGTTTTTGGTAGTTATATAGAATCTGAGATATTTTGTTCCAAAAAAATCAGCCTCATCCTAATCCTCATCCTAAATTCCATGGCTTTTACCCGTTGAAAATTTGCATCACTTTTGAGGAAAGGATGAATAAATCTGGAAGAGAGAATAATTACAGCTCATGAGCACCAACTGATCGTTTAAAAATTGCATAAAATGTGTGTATGTATCTTTAAATAGGTACAAAAATTCAAGAACTAAAAGTATGAACCTTCATTAATAGTAATCCGATCCATTTACAGTGTGTAAAGTAAAATAACACCAGAAAAATAAAAAAAGTAGTAACCATCACTCCAAAATTGACATATCCCGTCACCTTCCTATGATCTAATTATACAAACTTTTCAAAGCTAAATGTATAATTTTAGATATCCTTGCAAAAGGAACTAGCTATGCATAAATCCTCCCGACTAGGCATATTTTCTAACCTTATAGTGATGATAATTACCATTATAATGTTGGTTGTTATTCAAAGGATAATATTTTGGACTAGATCCCTTGTTTCTCAATATGTTACTAGGACCGCTACGGCCACCGCCACCGCCACTCTTTTTCCACAACCTCCACCAACTTCTTCTCGGAGAAGAAATGCCAACACTTGGGTGGCTCTTCCCTTTTCTGGCCACAAGCCCACGAACCTCGGGCGGCTTATAGTTTCTTATCAAAGGCCACTTGATCCCATCAAAAAATGGGTGTCTTTTGATGTCTGTGGCACCCTTGGTGCACCCTACCCTCCGCCTCGGGTCCTTGACTAACAACTTCTCGATCAAATCCTTTGCCTCTTCCATCGCCTTACCCTCGCCTTCCATCACATGGAAGGTCACGTTCTTACTCGATGCTATATTACGCAAGGTGCGCTCTTTACTCCCTCCCTTGAACGGTGTCGTTCCGTACAATAATTCATAAACTAAAACCCCAAAAGCCCACCAATCAACTCCATTACCGTGACCATTTCCAGACAACAACTCAGGAGCCAAGTATTCGTGGGTCCCAACACACGATCTAGACAAAGCAGCAGTGGGCTCCGCCACAAACTCCTCCTCCACCACTTCCTCCTCCACTACTCCCCTCCGGTTCGCCGTCCCAAAACAGTTAACCCCTTTTCTCATGGACCCAGCCGTTCTTTTCCTGTGGACCCTTCTATCGAAAGTGGGGACAACATCAGCTTTGAAACACAAATCGAAGTCAGACAACATTATATGACCATCTTCACGTAATAATATGTTCTCCGGCTTTAGATCCCGGTAAACAACACCTAGGGCATGCAAATACTCCAAAGCCACCAAGACCTCGGAGGCAAAGAACTTAACGGCCTGAACCGGTAACCGGTTACCGGGTTGTTTACGTAGCAAAGAGTGAAGGTCTCCATTAGGGCAATAATCAATTAAAAGGCAGCTGTAATGAGAGACCTCAAGATGGGCATAGAGTGTAGGCAAGAAAGGGTGGTCTAGCATGGAGAGAACCTCACCTTCCATCTGAACTTGAGATAGTTTTTTCTTGGTTAAAGAATCTTTGTCTATAACTTTCATAGCAAAGTTTGCATTGTTGCAATCTCTAAGTTGACAGAGAAAGACCCGGCCAAGGTTTCCTGTACCAAGATGGCGGAGGAGTTTGAGGTGACGGAGATGGAGTTTGCCATCTGTGGAGAGGTTGGTGGCTGTTTTTAGAGCTGACCAATGACGGTCACATTTACGGTGGTGGAGAGGGTTTGTGATGGTGGTTGTTGCTGTGGCTGTGGAGGTGGTGGTGGTGGTGGTGGATGTGTTAGAGAGGCGGTCGTTGAAGCTGAGAGTTAGACTAGAACGAGCAAGACTTGAACGGGCACTTGAGGAGGCGAAAGTCCGGTCAGTGGCGGTGGATGTGAAGCTGAAATCAAGATCGGTATCAGATGGGCAGCGATGAAGCTGGGTTTCTTCAGTATCCATGGTTATGGCGTGTGGAGAAAATTGGAGAGCAATGAGCTGGAGATGTAAGGACTGGCTTATAAAGAAGACAGAGAGAGGTGGGTTGGGGTGCAGAGAATTAAATATGGTGGTTGGTTGACCAAACTAGAGAGAGAGAGAGAGAGAGAGAGAGAAAATGGAAGCTGGTGATAGGTTGACCCAATTAGAAATTTCTTGTTTTTGTTCTTAATTATAATTATCCCAAAAACTTATTAGATGCTAAACTATAGTTGCGGTAAGGACAAATTAAGAATGACGCTTCGTAGATTTGTGATGTATTTCACCATTGGTTGCTATCAGATTTTTTTGACAATGACATTTATACAGTTTTATCTTTTCCGTTAGACTGAAGTTTTAAAGGAAACAAATATGTTTATTTATTATTAAATTCACCTTTCGTCATCACAATGTTTTTTTTAACCTTTAAGCATCTGATATATGGGATAGCGTAAGATGAAAATAATTATTAAAAAAATTTATATATATAAAAACTTGAATTTAAAATCATTTATTTAAGCATCAATTAGAACTTTTTCACTAAGTCAACCTTGAGAAGATTTGAAATCATGATATTTATATAATATATCTAACTATTAAAAGCTATACAATAATTAATTTTTTAGTAGCAAGGATATTTCAGTTAATTTTGGTATAATAAAATTAAATTTTAAATATGTAGTTTACAAATTAGCAATGCATATATGAGAAATTATTTTGTTACGATCTCTCTTATAAATTGAATCCACATAATAATTAATCTTTTTTATTTTATTTATTTATTTATTTTTACATAGATTAAAAAATTATTAATTATTATGTCATATATCATTTTTTATATATTTATAATTTTAATAAAAAAATGTTAGTCATCAAATAATCATACATGACTAGAAATCAATATTAATTACGAGTACTTTAAAAAAATATACCACACAAAATTTTAATTAAATAAATAATTTGGAACATAAAAAGACAAACAATATAATTATAACATGAGGAGTATCTAATAATTTTGAAAAGTAAAGTAACTTTCTAAAACCCAACTTTTTGCGTACTCGATCCTAAAACCTATGCAATAATTTCTACTACGTATGTAAGTTCTAGGAAAGAAACCCTACGTCGTGGATTGACAAGACGTAGGTTTAAAAAAGTTGAAAGACGTGTGTGTAAACAGCTAAAACCTCAAGAATTAAAAAACAATATATGGCAAGAAAAACGACTTGATTAGGCAACAAAGTCAGAGAAGATGGTTCCAAGAAATGAAAATGGGTGACAAAGGAAGGGAGAGCAAAGCCGCGTATTAGTGTTGGGTTCTGCGTAAAATAAATTACAAATTAAAGGACACAAACAGAGGAAATAGGGAACCGGGCGAAGAAGCTGGCTGTTGTTAGTCGGCTCTATGCAGGCACTTCCTTTACGTTATCACTTTCATATTAACTTGTTAGTTATTTTTTATTAGGGTTAGGTCAATTTCAACCAATTATATGATCACACCTATAAACTTTGTCTACCTGGTTTGTCGACAAGATTATGCATGGATTTCTCATCGTTCACGATAAGATGCAAAAATATGCCATTTGAGTTCACACTTTTTTGTAATTGTACCAACATCTACCCATGTTACACTCTACAATATTTGTCCCAATATCCTGTTTTAACTTAGAAATATCTTAAACAAAAACTTTGAAATGTTTAATTTTATGTTAAAAAAAGCATGTTTTAACCGAAAGATGGTAATCCGTTAATAAGCAAGTATCCGTTTGTAAATAAGGTTAAAAGTAATTTAATTTTTATGATCATTATTATTAAAAATTCAAAGTTAAAATACTTGAATTCATATACTAGAGATTGTCTGTTAATTATATTTAAAAAAAAATTATTCAACTTATACAAAAACTGATCCGAAAACATTTTTAATGCTTAATTTTATTTTTTATTTTTTATTTTTTTATTTTTTTATTTTTATATAAAAAGGTATGTGATGTTCATAAGCACTTGAATTTAAGGTTACATTTGAAGATTTTTTGAAAGTTCTAGGAATGATATGAAACTTAACATGTTCCGGCAACCTGACGAGTATGCTACGGTAATATGCACAATGCATGTATCGACTAGTTCATGGTTGTCGATCACCAAATTAATAACTTTTTTTTCCTCATAAACTATTCCTTAAAAATAATTTGTAAGAGGTTATTTCTGATCAGTCTTGTCATGTTAAATTTTTTAGTTTTCTTTTTTAAGAATAATTCTTGCGTCGTATTCTAGTACTGAAATCGTGTGGTGTCTTGTTATAGCTAGCCTCGGACAGACAGCATTGAAACGACAAAGAAAAAGAGCAGAAATATTTTTAAACTAAAATGTGCTAAGTGGGATCCAAATTGCATATTTTGGACCCAATATATAGTTACAAGAGTTGACCTAATTTCCTATCATGTCTTAATCTTGTCCATAGCTTGGGGTGTGAGTAATTAACAAGAAAGAATCAAATCAAACTCAAAAAAAAAAAAAAAAAAAAAAACTAGGGTAAAATGATACATTAAACAGCATATATTCCAATACTAAGAACGACTATGCTGGTAGCTAGCGTGTTGGTTACGCTAAAATGGGCTCTGTATACAATACCATCAATTATGCTCGATCAGTACGATTTTGCCAGTCAACATTAATCACCAGTGCTGATCAGCAAGATGCAATGGAACCGAAAATAGAAGAAGAAAAGCATCAAAGCAAATTGTTCTGTTGAATTTGTCAACCAGCATTAAAGATCATCTTAAATTTTCAAGAGAAGCTTTTTTCCATTCTTTTTTCTTGGTTACTAAACGGAGAATTGCTGATCAGTTGGTTCTGACATAAAGTTATCTTGTACAGTAAAAAACAAGTTAGATTGAAACGGAGTTATCTCAGACGCTGGCATGCTAGGGTTAGAAATAGGAAATAGGCAATAGGTATCACTGTTTTTGCCGGTGCATTGCGTAATCAACAAATTAATTAGCGTAATTCTCTTTTTCTGTGCTCCATTGTTTATTGTATTTAGTTGTCTTTTAGCTTTTTATGATCCAATTATTCCACTCTTGAGAAATCAGATGGTGCGGCTGTCCTCAATAAAATTTGAATAACTTGTTTCATTTTTCAAATATATATATATATATATTAATGAATTTATTAATTTTCTTTCATTATTCGATAGAAATCTAGAGTTATCATCATTAATATAAATTAATTTATCTTGATTTATATTAACTTCTTTTTTAATCTCAAGTTATTTCAAATTTAAAAATTCAGATTAATTACTCATTATTTAATAGAACATATAAGACGAATATAGTTATTTAAAGAATTTCTAAATACATAAATATTCAAATTCAAAATCACTTATTAAATTTTAAAATTTTTTGCTCAAACTTATTTTTGAAGATTATTTTGACCCTCTTTTGTTAAATGAAATCACCCATCCATATCTCTAATCTTCTAATATATATATATATATATATATATATAATGGCTTTTTGGATGAGATTTTTTTTTAATGTGATAATAATTGACTCTTTATCGAATTATATTTAATTATTATGACATTAAAAAAAAAAATCTCATCCGAAAAGCCATTATTCCATATATATAATGAAATTGGGAAAATTACCAAAATTCTTTTGGATGCACAATCAGGGGACTAGTATTAGTTCTTCTTTGCAAGATAATTTTTATATCAAGCTTCTTTGAATCAAACAGTAAGTTTTCTCTAAACAGTATAAAAAGGAAATGCCCATTTTTTCATACGTATCAACATATTCTTTTATAATACCATAAGCAGTGAGCACCCAATACTAATTGTTGGGAATTTTTTTTTTTTTTTCCCAGTTCATACGCTAGCTTAGATCAAGACACTAAATTTTAACCTCAGCTTTGTTGATTCGGACAATTTATTATTATTATTTTAATGTTTCCGGTCAATGGGTATAAAAGTTTGTGCATGTCCTTTACTTTACTTTCCTTTCTTTCTTTCTTTCTTTCTTTATTATTATTATTATTTGACTAATCCTCGCACATACACTTAAATTGATTAATCTAATAGTAAAAAGGTAAATAAAAAATAGATTGAGAGTCCAATTGATGTTAACAAACCAAGAATTTCACTTTTAGCCTAATGACAAAATATCTCACTAATCCTAACCACATTTTAATTAAAAATATTTTCTGAATAGAAAGAACCTAAACTATTAAACAAATTGATTCTATTACAAGAAAGAAAGAAAGAAAAAAAACTCACAGCATCTTAAGAAATAAAATAGGTGTCAATTCATTTTCTTATGTAATTATCATATTGAATTTATAATTTTTATAGAGTTTGATATTAAGTTTTTTCAATTAAATTTTAGATAAATCATATAATACTTGAAGAAAAATAAAATTTCTGATATTTATATTAAAATAATAATATAAAAAGATAGTTCAATAAAAATCAAAGAAATTTCTGATATTTTGTGATTCCAATGGCAATAAATAGCCGACTTTAGCTCTGTGTGGCTAAACTATAGCTGGAACCTTCTTAATTATATTTATTTATAATCCAATTTAATTATATGTAGAAATTTCTCATATGAAAAAGAAGAAAAAAGGGAAGGTAGTGGCCCCACGTGATGGGCCAGTATGATCGATTCTAACTAGGGATGGGACCCATGTGGAAGTGAAGGACGATGCTGTCCGCCACGTGGGTAACATTAGTCCTACATTGTCGCTCGGTTGCATTTAATCAATAAGTAAATTCATTTAATGATCCTGATGACTTAGTAATTGAATTCTGAAAATTGGAAAAAAAGAAAAGAAAAAGACTTTAATGTGTAATAAAATATATTTTCAAGTACTAACATAATTCATCAATAATGCCCTTCTACTGCCTAGCTAGTTAAGTAATGATAATAATGCATCAAACAATTATTAATCAGTCCTTTCCTCGAGATTTTAGATGGAGTTGTTCTTTGAGT